AAGAAAAATATATGTAGTAAAAATTATAATAAATTTAAGTAAAATTTTTAGTAAAAAAAAAAAAGTTGCAAATATCTGTTCCACCTGAAATAGAATTAGCAATGTCTGGTGTTGAGCAAATGACTACTGGTTTAATTTCCGTGATAATATCAATTAACAATGGTTGTGGATAGAAGACGTCCAAAGGAAGATAAGCACAGCCTATAAAAAATATTTTTAAAGCCATTGCTTAAAAGAAATTTTCTTTGCATGACATTAATAATAATTGAGATATGTAAAAATTTTCAATATTTTTTCAATTTGTTTCTGACTTGCAATCTTTTTTCCTTATCGATATGACTGACATTATGAAAGGAGGAAACAAAGTTTAACTATATTAACTTTTTTGGTGTTATTATTGGTATATTTTTGACAGAACTCTTATTAATTTCGATTTCTTCAAATTACAGATGCACGATTTTAGATACTATTATTTATGATATACCATTCAGTCATTATTATTTACAATGTAACCTCATTTATTGTCATTTGTGTTATCTAATCTCAGTTATTGTCATTTGTGATGTATCATCTCATTTATTATCATTTATATGTATGTATAAATCTAATTACTGCTATTTGTCAATGCTATATTATGACGTTTAACTTCATCAGATGGTTAGAAAAAAAAATCTGATTTCCAACTTTCAAGAAATATATTTTGATAAGCACAAGAATTGACCAGCTTTTAGGGCAGCCGTATAGGCTAATGCATAGAATGCGCATTTGTTCATATAGATGCCAATACAGTCTCCTCTTTTAGCACCGTATTTTTCCACAAAATGTTTTGCCAACTTTTCCGACATAGTATCCAATTCAGCTAACGTCCACTTGGTATCTCCATCACAAACAACAATTTTTGATTTGAGTTCCGCTTGATTTGCTGCTTTACGAAATAATTCTACCAATGTTGACATTTTCAACTTGCTGCATAATTCGGAAAAAACTAGCAGGTAGTTGAAATTTTTTAAAAAAAAGACAGCCCAAAAACGATACCATCATTAAGTAGCGATGACATTAAATTCATTTTAGCTTCTCCTTATTTTAAACAAGTAAAATGATTTATGATTTACATTGGTTATTTCAAACAATTCTGTATTTGACATTCGCTATTAATTTCTATCTAAGCGAAACTTAGATTCGAATAAGAAATGTCATTTCCTTAAATTTCGGTCAAATTTCACAAAAGTAAGTTTTTAAAAATAGAAGAAAAATAGTTTTGTTAGAAAAAAATAGAAAAAAAAAAGAAAAAAAAAAACGAAAAATTGAAATCACTTTCAGCATAAGCATCTATCATGACAAATATCAATGTCCTCTTTAAATTTCAATGAAGAAACTGAAAATATAGTCAAAGGTCTAATGAAATAGTACTGATGCCATCACTCCGAATGCTACGTGCGAGTAGCTAAGAAGTGACAATGTGACATGACAGGCAAGTATAATGCTCTTACCAGAAGAACGAAAAATCATTCCTTATTTTAAGTTTTATTTCTTCCAACTAAGTTTGTCTTCTTTTCAATTTCTTTTTTTATTCGCATTATGTAGCACTGGTTTAGATTTAGATTAAAGTGTAATGGAAAAGAAGATGCCAAATAATTGAAGACATAAATTACACTTATAATTAGTTCTGTAGTAGTTTTCGATTTAAACTATACTATAATAAAATAGTTCTGTGGTAGTTTTTAAACTAAACAAATCAACATGTTTATTAATTAATGTAAATTATAAGTGGAAGAAAGAGGAAAAGAAGTAAATAAGTAAGGAAGGAAGAAAGAAGAGAAAATGAAATGAAAGTAAATAAACAATATCATTGGACAGGTAAATGGAATGTAGACGAATGAATATGAATGGTGGTAATATTTAACGATGAGATAGACCTGTCTTCAATAGAAAAATGTGCATTTCTTTTTCAACTCAATGCACAAATCATTAATAAATTACTGAAAACATTATGTTTTAATGGAAAAATGAAAGAAGTAAGAAGAGGGAATTGTTTTATGGTAAAATTATTTTGGCATTTTTTTTTTTTTTTTTGATAAGATACACTTCTCAGAATCAGTCACGCGATAATATCATTTGTGTGATTTTTGCGCTTATTATTTGCAAAAAAATAAATAATGTACACAAATATATATGATTTATTCCAAAAGTTTCATCAAACTTCATATTAGTTTCTAATTTTGTGCAATTGCTATGAAAGTAAGACATTGTTAAAATTCTGTTAATAAAATATCTTTGCGAAGTATACATGAAATGACTTTCTTTTTCTCTTTTTCTTTTCTTATCAAACTGATAACATCAAAGTATTACAGTAATTATTTTGTATACTAAAAGATAAATTTTGACGCATTGCAACAATATCATAAAATAAAAAAGTTCTTATTAACAAAAGGGATGTTAATTTATGCGCAACGTGATATTAGTATTGAAAATTATACTCGGTTTTTTTTTCAAGTTTCTGTAAAAACGAAATTTTTTTCACAGCCCTGAAGCGACAGTGTTTTAATGAACTGTGGAATTTTTTTCCTTTCCTTTTTTTTTTGTTAAATTGTTGAGAGATGAGATTGTTGAAATAATTCAGCTATTAACCTTTTTCGACGAAGTTATTTCGATAAAATTTATTTGACAATATCCATCAATACGCTAATCATCTACATGACCTTTGCACTTACCATTGCAAATAGATGTTGTAAAAAAGTATTATGAGCGCATACAGTATTTATAGATCTTGAAGCCTCTTTGGTTTCCCATGATATCGCCTTCTTTAAACTTTGCAAGAAAGAAGAACTTACCTTTAATAGCTTACCTTTCTCGCTCTTTCATATCGTCGTCCTTTAAAAAAGGAGGAAGTCTTCAGAATCCGCTAATGCCTTACCTTTCTTGGTTCTACATAACATTGATTACTTCATATTATATCTGTACGGAAGAGTCAGAAGTCTTATAATATACTACAAAATGGCACTAATCTATTTACTGATTAGATGGAAGAAGAAATGAAGGCAAAGTAAAGTATAATTATCGGTGATGGACTCCAAAAAATGGTAAACAGCAATGATATAAATAGATTATTGGGAAGCACTGATGCTTACTCTTTGATAAAATTATTTTGATTGATGCTGATAAAATTTATTTTTTACAATTTATTAATGTGATAACCCTTTGCCTAATCATTGCACTTATCATTGGAAATAACCATTATAAAATAGAATACACAAAGGCAGACGACCAGTTATATGCTCTTCAATTTAAGAATCGTAGCAAAATATTAAAAAATGATCAATTATGATATTTAATGATTATATGGTTGTATAAAATAAAGAAGGAATAAAATGTAAAATCATTGATGAACTGATTAATGAGCTCTAAAGAATTTTGAAGATAAAAATTATCAGTGATATAAATAGATTGTTAACAGTGAGGCCTTCTCTCGATAAAGTTATTTCGATCTTTTTTGATAAGATTAATCTTTTTTTCTACAGCCTATCAATAAAATGATAACCATCTAAATATTCTTTGTACTTATTATTGCAAACTGAATTACAAAATAGCAGTGAAGAAATGGCATACAATCACTAATAACTTCTGCAACAATTATTGAAGCCTTTATAGTACTGCCTTCCTTAAAATTGCTGTAAAGAGGTAGTCCTGATACAATCATGGTAATATAAAATAATCAGGTTGCGCTAGTGAAATGAAAAATTTAATCTTACATCATTTTTTTTTTTGTCAAATTGATGACATCCGGGTGTTACAGTAATTATTGTGTAATGAAAGATAAATTTTTACACATTGCAACAATGTGATAAGGTGAAAATATCATAAGACTTCGTTTTTCATTAGCAAACAAAAAATATTAAACCAAATGCGCAAAGCGATGCAATTTTGAGAAATTACATCTAATCTTCAACCTTTTCGTCTTCCATTACTTGCTTTTTATTATGCCTAGATAATACAGAATGATAAATTTGTTCCTAATTTTTGTCCTTACCCAATTTCATTTATCATATTACTTTTATTTATCACTTGAGTTTACAAGTGATAAATGAATTAATCATATCTGTTATTTTATTATAATTTCAAACATTTCTAGTAGTTACCATTTTTTATTTATTAAATTAATACAACAAATGCGTAGTAAATTACACAAAATTTCATTAATAAAATTAAAAATGGCTATGTTTTAATTGTTGTATAATATATATGCAAAATCACTCGCATGTTTTGTTTGCAACCTACCATTGAATTATCACTGTATTGAACTTATATCATTTAATCTATTATCACCAACATGAGAATGCTAACTTTTTCGAATAAAGCCATGTTTGCCATTTGTGAAAAAAATTGAGATTAATTATTTAAACTGTACTTGATTTGCATACTCGCTTTCTTTTTCTTCTGCTTTATCAATATTCGCTGCATGTTTTCACTAAAAGTTAACATTATACTCTCCAATATTAAGCATAAATTCTATTCCAAAATTTATACTGCGATAAATATAATCAACGAAACTTTGTTTTGGTATTAATATTCCATAATATTTGATAGAACACTTTTTTAATTGCATAATTACATTTTAATCATAACCGTACCGTTTAGGGTAAACAATTGATTCTTAAATTCTTGAGAGAAAATATGGATAATAAATATATATTGGTTTGGAAAAATATAGATGCTGAGACAGTTTCAATTCTTGAAATTTTTTCTTGTTACTGACTTATCTTTGCATGTCGTTTCAAATGTCGTTTATCCCTAGAAAACTTTTCTATGTATGACAGGATCACTTTTTAAAGTTCATGATGGGCATATATAACTGAGAACTCGTCATATATTTATAAGCTCATCATAATATTTATAATATATGAGTTGTTAGAATATTAATAAGGTTTAATTAATTAAAAATAGAGTGAATCCTTTGATTAGTAATTGCAATAATTTGATGGTAGTGCAATTATTCGTATCAATTATAATTTTCCGTTTGGTTGAGAAAAATCTGCTAGGAAAGATATATTCAATCTGAAAATTACTTTGCAATTATATTAGGCCAAACAAATGTTATTTGCGTTTATATTTGCATAAATTTGATCTGATGGAAATAACCTTTTAGGTATTGGTAGTAATTCAAACTGAAAGTCCATAAGATTATTATCAATATGCAAATTCTACGACAGCTCAGCCAAGGAATAAATTAAATAAACAAATATTATCTTACGTCTCATCCTTTGCACGTCGATGCATAAACCGTACCTTTCTAAATGCTGATTAAACATTATGACAAAAAATGTTTGATGAATCAAACAAAGACAGTGCAAAATTTTTCCACCTAAAAACATGATAAGAATATTGAATGATATATTTAATAAATGAAATGTGGAATTAAAAAAACGGTAATTTATTTTTACCATTATTTATTATTATTATTATCAGAAAATTATTGGCCAGTAACTTGGAGTTAAAAATTAATGGTTGAACTTCAACCAGAAACGCTGATCCTTTACATAGTTTGTCGTATTTCTACTTTCATAAATTTCTTTGTTTTTGACATTTATATAAAATTGATATGGCTTAGGAAGTAATTTAGTGAATGTTTGAAATGGCATAAAATGATCACTGTAAGATTCTCGTAAGAATCATCACAACAATTTTCGTAAGAATCATTTACTTACTTTGGCAACCCATCATTTGCATCGGGGAGATAATAGATCACTTCAGCAGAACTGTTTCAAGCAACAAATTATAAGTGGTAGATAAAATGTAGTTATCATTAACTTCAAGCATTTACATCAATCAAATTACCTTGGAGAAAGGTATTAATGGTTTTGTTTGCTAAATTGTGGGAGGAAAAGACATCACAGAAGAACGGTGAATAAACAAAAGGAAGGACTTCAGTGCTTAATTCTTATGAAATGAAAAATTCTTTATGAAATTGCAAGCATTTTCTCTACAATAGCACTAATCCATCCTTTACAAGGCTTCTTTAGTTTCTAGGTCAATTAAGAGATAATTAGCAGCATATAATAGAAATACACAAATGAATAGAAGTGTACATTATGGTACGGCAGTAGAAATATTTGATGTATGATATACAATATATATATTAGCATTAAATAACTTAAAAAATAATTCAATTCTAAAGGTTTGATGAAACGAAGGGGATAACATTACTATTACTAAGAATGGGTCTGTTACCTGGAAGAAAGAAAATCAATTTTTATTGTTCTAATCTGGAAGTAAAATAATTCAGTTCTTGTTGTTTTAATAATCTGTGATAACAATTATTTCAAAGAATATAAATAATCATGAATGATAGCAAAAATGCCTATAAGAAAGTTGCTCATTAATATCACTTAATTTGTGTTAATATCTGAATGTATAATTTATTCACTTGTAATTTGCATTGGATTTACTTCAGTTATGTTTTTCAATAGCAGCTAAAAAGTGCAAAATCTTGATTTAGTGATTTTTACAACTATAACAACATTACAATGTCAATACGAGAACCCAAAGTGTGAAAAGTTTATGACATTTCTATGGTCGTTTCCGCATGTCAGTGATATGAGGAAAAAATGTAATTTCTGCAGAGACTTTTACAAAGAAATGATAAACGTTTTGATCATGATTTTTGGGTAATAATGAAATCTTACTAGTTTTAAAATGCTAACAACTTCCTGCAATATAAAGTTTTCATTTTACGTCACTAGAAAATAAGGCAAACATCACTGTAGTTAATGCAATTAGAATACACCTATTAACTCAATAAAGTTTGTACGACCTTCAGCTAATAAGATAGCCACCGATGTGTAACTCGTGGTAATTATGGATACAACCGCATCTATCGACTTTTATCCTTCTAAAGCAGTTTAATCAGTTATGTGACATCTAATGGAATAGAGCATTGGAATATTGGTAAAAGCCAATAGGATGTATTAATACTCTTCATTGAAAGCATATATGTATAATAACGCAACAGCAGCAAGATATCCAAAAGATTAAAGAACATTCAGAAAGTAAATAACACTCATGAATATTGTATTCATATTTAGCAACACCTACCACGCATGCAACAAAGCGATAAACAAAAAATCACGTTAATATTCCACCCGTTGATATTCAACGATGCCAAATATTTTTTGTACATTTCACAAACATCACTCGATTAACTACAACAAAAAAAAAAAAAAAGAAACTGCAAATTATTCAGTTACCACATTAAATTTCTGCAAACTTGAAGTTACAGTAGAACTGTAAATAGAATTGAAAAAAATCTCAGAAGAAGGAAGGCTTTAAAACACTACTCATAAAATACCGTAAATCAGAAAAATCACCCATCTACACTTAAAACACATCCGATTTTGGAATACTCATATCTGATGACATCTCTGTATACACAATACGGTGAATGATAAAGGACTAAAAATTTCAAGAATTTTTCAGTGAACTTAATCTTATTTTTGCTTGGATAATAAAGCTTGTGAAATAATTAATTGGATTCAGCAAATATCAAAATTCAATAATAAAACAATTGATTTCAAAATCACAAAACCAAACTGATGCTAATTATACACAAAAAGCTAAGCTGACAAAATGAAAAAACACTGACAAATGCATGACATACGAAGTTGTGGTATGAGCTGCAGAGCTAAAACACCTCTATTTCTATTATATGGAATGAAAACGCTACACAGAGCAACTCCATATTCACTCACAAATTTCTATTTACTGAAAAACTTAATAGAATTAAGTAGTTTTATCTACATAACATATCTAATTTTAGAAACTATGCGAAGACGACTAATGTGATAAAAACTCTGCTTAGAGAACTTTTTATTCACAGCTCTGCTAGAAAAGAAAATTACTAAATTTCATATTTCAATATAAGATATAGATCACATGCATTGCAGCACAATGAGAATCCAAAAAAAACGGATCGGTCTTCATAGAAAATCAATGCAAAAAGTCAATCGATGCATGTTAGAAGCGGAAAAAGAATAGATATCACCCCCTCTCCCCCCGAAAACGGAATTTTGAAACTACGTAATGATAAAAGTGTACAATATAATCAAAGTATGTAGCACACAATTGTTCGCGAAACTTATCGGTGACTGGCATGTTCAAGACAAAAAAATCAAATACAGAAAATGCTTGAAATAATTGTATAACCTAACATATATGCAGTGCTGTGTTCCTTGTTCTCAGTCCTTTCCCATCTAAACATTTCAAAAAATAGTATTTGCAGAGATACGCACCATAGGCATCTGATAAAAAAAAATAAAGATAAATACCTAGTGAGAAAGATACTAAAACAGAATTAAAAATAACATGTTATATGAACTAACCAGACATTGTAGTGAAGAAAGGGAACCACAATGAAGTTATCCAGAGAAAATAGTAGTAAAAACCTCGGGACCGATTTTTAAAATGAAAAGAACGCAATAATAAATGAATAATAAAATAACAATTGGAAAAGTAAATAACTTCACAATCACTAGCTAAGCAATTAAAAAATTATGAAAACATAAATTTTTTTATTACGGAGATGAAAAAAATGTTATAAAGATTAGTCACTATTCTCTTTCGTAATGCCTTAATAAATACAAATTGTTATATGTAAGAGGAAGTATAATTATCTATTAAAGGAGAACCTGAAATGTCTCACAGTTACCCAAAATGTACAACTTCTGACAATAATGAGAGAACAAGGATACACCAACATTATGAATTTACATTGTGGGCACTGAGACTTTCATGAATACGTACTGCATCAGTGAACTTCAGAGGTCTCGAATTATCGATCAGTTGCCCACCATTCTCGACAAACCGAAAACCAGTAGCAGGATCTGAATTAACATTAGCAAATACACTTTCCGAACGAATTATTTCGAAATCACTTAGGGTAGCCGGTGATGTAACTGATTTCTTGTCATTAGTGGTTACTGCAGTCATCTTAGTATCATTTGTGCTGCATTGAATAGCAATCCTATTGTGTGCTGAACGCATTGATTCTTCCACAGCTGCCTGAAATTATTTAGCGATTTAATCAAAAGTGCAACGCTATAAACTTTTGCATAGAAAAATAACACAGTTAATATTTCAAAACGTAACTGCCTATTAAACAATAGCTGACCATCGAAATACTATCAAGAATCTTGCAGTAATTAGATAATGTCTACAAGAGAAACTGGTAAAGATTTAAAGCAAAATGTATGCTCAAACAAAATGTTATAAGAAAATTTTGAGCAGAAAATCTTCTGCTCAGATCCTCTCGGGGGCGGATGGAACTATGAAGTTATTATACTTACATGATATATAGCACTTTGACGGCGGAAACTTTTATTATCCTGCTCGTCGAATAAATTACATTTAGATCCCTTTTCTGGAATGTCCTTGCGAAATGAATGGCCTACCGAAATTGCAGTGCCAACAGACTGATCATCTTCTGGAACTTGCCGCATCTAAAGTTTCCAATTATAAGCAACATAAATGACGATGTATATATCAAACGCATTTAACATTCATAAATGTTCAATCATGTTTATAAATAATGAATAAGAAAAACATACCCTAATAAGTCCACCTCCTCTAGAGAAAGAATTTTTGTCAGGAACATATACCACAGACGGCATACCATCTAGAAAACCTTTTTTACCTTTTCGACTTTCCTTTGCTGATATTGTCTCGAAGCTGAAATTTTGCAGTCAGTAGTCTGACGAGTTCCTCATGGAAAATAACTTCATCAAAAAGTGAAAACACCATAATAAATAAGATTTTCTGTTAAAATTGTACTTACAACCCAACCTCATTAACTGAAGACGGTAGAAATATACGAGTGCACATATATGTGCAAACATTCAGCTTAAATAAATGAGTTATTCTCAGATATTTTATCTTTGTTCTAGTGGTGAAAAAAAAAAGCACATACGAAGGATATTGACTTGCACATAAAGTACGGCGAACATTGCCCCAGCAACCAACTGTAAATGGATTGTACCCCGATCGAAATTTCCCCGTTACCTAAAAATATTCTATGTTAAAGAAAATAAGTATGAAAATTTGTGGAAAATGTGGAACAAAGTAATAAGAGCTGAAACCTGTTCATTGGTTGTGCGGCCACGAACAACTAAAACAACATGGAAACCGGTCAAGCCAACAACAGGTACCGCCAGCAACACACAAAGTGCCATTAAAACAATTGAACACATATTTGGCCTTGTTAGCAAATCCGCCCTGGAACAAACACTTAGAAAGTACAAAGCTATAGTATTATCCAAGGAGCATGTTCCAAAATCCACTCAAAAGAATGGATTAGTCCATAACTTTAAAAAAAAATAAAGGAAATATTGTAAGTTAGTGCTTTTTGAAACAACTATAGAACAAACCTGTTCAAAACTGTGTAACTCAGCGCCAACGAGAAAACACAAATCATATGCAGACTAAGAAAAAACAAAAATAAGAAGAAATAACGATAGTTGCGTCGACCAACGCAATTGTGTACCCATGGACAATGATGATCAAAAGCATCTATGCATCTGAAAATAGTTGTAGCAAGAACAATGCTACATTTTTAAAAAATTCTTTATTTCTTATGTGTCACTTGCTTCTGCTTCTTATTGATAAAGACCATTAATAAGCAAAATTAAAGGAACTAGGTTTAATATCGAGTACAACAAGATTCTATCTAGTAAAGTATACAGTTTCCCGGTAGTAAAAATGTTGGGTCCTCAAAAACACTGTGAATTTTGAAGTAAGAATGTAACTAGAGGAAATTTTTGCAAACCAATTAATTTTCACCTTGGAAAAAAATATGAAAAAAGAAAGCGAATTTAGCATAGCATTATTTAGCATTACTGTAATGAAATGACCTTAGAGCTTTACAAGAAAAAAGAAAGAAAAAAAATAAGCAAAACATAAGCCAACTTGCCGATTACAAACCGAGCAATGTGACGCTCTCGGTGGCCGATAGAATTTACATGTAACACACCATTTCATACGAACCGTGATACCATTGATCTCCACGTTTTTATAAAGCGGTGAACGAAAGTCGTCCAACTGCGTTTCTTCCGCAGCACTTGCTATAGCGATGGATCATTTTTGAATAAGAAACTATTGACATCTCACGAGCAACCCAACTAGAGATACTTGAACGAAAATATTGAAACTATTCTGAACAATATAACATCAAAACTCTTATGGTCATTAAATGCAGATGTCTAAGACCAGTACAACTGTATGTGTTATGTCTGGTTTTCCTGAAACAGACTACTGTCAAACTACTCTACTAAGCCTTTATGCTTATACTATTCGACTATTATCCAGAAAAAAAAAAAAACAATTCCTGAACGACTTAGAACACTACTAAATAAAATGATTCAGTAAAATGAATCGGTGAAGTTTTATGATTTTACTTAGTAGTGACTGTTGCAATATTTCTATTTCTTATGTCTTTATACTAAATTCATTGTTAACGTTAACGAAGTGAACCAACCAAGAGGATGAACGCCAGGATCCATAGTGGTTGCCATAAACAAATTGGACATTACAAAAAGAAACAGAATAGCATCGACAGCACACATAACATAGCCCCAAGCCGAGAATTGTAAAACTATTGCCGGTGCGAGCAGATAGAAAAAACATCCTGTGCAAACGATTATTAACGACCAAGCTACTGTTGCAGGCAATGCCTGTGACACACTTTTGCATATCTTTCGTAACGACATAGTCTTTCCCAATATCAGTTACACTCGCAAACACTGGAACAAAAACAAAAACTTCACACTTACGATACTTAAAAACACTACAAAGACTATTTCAGACAGGATATTGAGTTCAATATAACTAAATCATCTGTCTCAACACTGTTTTTAAAGTTTAAAAAATATCAAAGTTATAAATATTTTAAAGTTATTCTGTTACATTGACAACAAAGTATTCATGCTCCTCAATTGTGTGTGTGGATAGACTACAAACTAACAAAAGAAATAGCAAGGGTAAAAGAAGAAATGACTACCACCAAGATTTCATGCCTATAGGATAAGACAAAGATGACCACTTTTCGATGGAAGTATATAACAAACAGTCATATATAAACAAGAAGTAAATCTCAACTTATTACCATTATTGCCACGGTAAGCATCATATTTATTGCTTGATTCATATTATTTGTTTCTTACGGAATTTCTAGACTTACCTAAAAAAAGATTAAAGGAAGATTCACAAACATTAAACATGAATATAAGTATAAATATTCTTCGACAGTTTACCTCTTAGCAAACAAGCTAACAATCAGTACATATCCTCCATCCCCCATGATCCCCACGTTTCATATTCTGTTGTGAGTCCAATTCGCCCATTGTAACAATAGACACGCCTGTGAAAAATAAGTTGTTAATATATAAAAGTATTATAAAACGAAGGACATATTATAAACGAATTTTTTGCGCTGTTACACAAAAGAGAATTTTATACCATTCTACAATAAAGAATCGAAGTTTTGATATGTCGCATAAGCACCAGGATATCCCAGAACACCTCATCAACACAGCAAACTCATCATCTCTGGCAATGCCACACAACAGAAAAATCGGAAAACAGAAGGACGGATTAACCATCGAAACGTTTGCTATTGATGGCAGAAAAGGATTCCATAACTACTTGTGACAGTAGCAGCTTCATTTCTGTTTGTTTTGAAGTTGGTCAAAGGATGGAACCTACAAGTGTGCAGTCATTTATGAGTGAAAGAAATAGGAATTGGTACATCGAGCTAGTCAATGTCACCCTGGGCTTGTTAATGTCATCTTGAGGTTGTCATTGTCACCTTAAGCTCGTCAATGTTATCTTGAACTTATTGTCAATTTTAGCTTGTCAACAAAATGCTCGCTTCTACCCATTTTACTTCCACATATGCATTATTTGAAGAAATGAAGGAATTCAGCACGACTGTAACTTCATCGATCTCTTTGAAAAGCAATAAATATAGCGGTACGTACATTTTATCAATACTTCAAAGATTTTCACAAATGATATGCTTTTGTTATCAGTCTTCTTTCTTATCACTATATCTTCTCCATTCGTTTCACATTCTATATTTTCTCTCCAATAATCATGATTGTAATGATCAGGTAATCTTGTACATGACTTCTTCTTGCGGCTTTATTGCATTGCTTCTATCATGCTTAGATGATAGCTTACAATGCTAAATTTGAAAATATGCGAAGACAACATGGAGTAGATCTCTGATGATGTGATAATTACGGCTAAAATATCTGAGATTTTTTCTAAGCTTTTATTAATTGGAATGTTCCTTTACTTTTGCTTACTTCAGAATCTTTCCTTCACAACTATTGTTGTTACCTTACATCTCATAGCAGTAATAAAATTTCAACCGAATGATCATTGAAATAAATTATTTTCTCCTCTACTATCTTTCCTCTTAATTTCATTTTTTTTTTTTCTTCTGTACAATTTCTGCTCAGTGTATTATCTTCCTTAACATAAAATTCTTTTAGCATTAAATTTGATTCAAACTTTCATGCAGCAAATTATGATTGCTATTTTATCGTAATGCAATAGTATCATAATGTTGTTTTTATCTTCAACTCATTTTCTCAATTTGTGTCACATATCTTGTCAACTGTAACGTTCTTTTATCATAACGCTTCTTCTGGATTGCATTCAAATGCTTTCACATAGAAAACGTGTTTTTCTTTTGCTGTCTCATTTCCTCTTTTGACATCGAATTCTAAAGTCTATTATTACTCCCAGTTCATCCTTTTCTAAAACAAACCTGTTTGAAATAATTTTTCAGTTTATTTCTTTCTCCAAAAATTTTATTAATAGATTTGTCAATTTAAAAGGAGTCAATTAACAAATAGATGTGAAATTAGAAATTAAAAATACTCTAATCAAAAATCTTCAAATAGCACTAATACATAGCTGTTACTGTCATTGTAATCATGTCATCCTTTTAGAAAGCAATTTGCAGAAAAAATGCATTATTAATTTGTCGTCAAACCTGTTCATTTTTAAACTTACAACTCTAGAGTTTTCCTTCCAATTCGGATGATAAATACGTGACGCAATGTTTCCTCATACAACTTCGTTTTCTTAAACATTCATTAATCCATTTCGATCAGTATTTTTCCTTTCATTTGTAGGGAAAAAATTTAGGCTCAAGTGATCTTTTGAATGTATTATAAAAGTAGAGTGAAATATTTGTATAGGAATAATCGAAGATGAAATTTGAAACTACAATCTTAAAGCATATCTCTTCAAGCATTTGTCCAAATGTCAGCTTCGTCTTTACCTCGGATATGATCACATTGGTTGGATATAATCGCGCGAAATTAAATGCATCGGTCACTCATCCAACGTTGATAGTCATCTGTAACGTATTGTTGTATTCGATGACAAATGTAACAAAAGCGAAAATATATTTGGCCTCGAATAGAAATATCGGAGAAAGAATAAAAGCATGATAATTCAGAAGTTCTGAAAAAAAAATGTTAGGACGACATTTTTGCAATGATTTTGAAATACTACTTTTATTTTCCACCTATCATAAAATAGTGATACTTATAGGAAGTATTGAAACATTTCAAAATGGTGAAAATAGGCATTTGCCAATAAAATTTCTTTATTTTTGTAAGAAAAATATTAAAAGATTATTGCAGCATTGATTCCTACTTGAACAGTTTACCCTTCTAATCTAATAGTTTATCTTTCATAGTGACGTGTCGCACCTTCCATGCATAACTTCAGAATTGAAAATAATTGCAATTCATCACCTCATTTTTCTTAATTAATTTACTATATTCGTTTGTAACGTGTTTTTTCCCATGAATCCATTCCATTTCAATGTATGCGTATGTATGTATGTGTGTGTGTGTGTGTGTTTGTCTGCCTGTATGTGTATGTGTGCACATGTATTAGTTGAGTTGTGGTGATTTTCGTCCCTTTAAAACAATAAAAAAAGAACCCTCAGAAAGAAAAAAATGTATCGACGAATGTCGAAGGTTAAATGAAGAAATAATTTGTGTTCTAATGTAACAAAAAGAGGACACTGCTGTTTGAAATATATTCCATTTTGAAGGTCATTGATGAGTGAAAGTGATGGTTACCAGGTTTGAAATTAGCAAAAATCTTGCCTTAATTTTGGGTATAGCTTTCCGGTATACTGAAATATCTTGTCACTTTTTCCTTTTTTTTCTTTTCATTATCCAAGTTGTAGAAAATAGTTTTGAGTAATACATTAAATGCAAATTAGTGATTGAGAGGTTGAAAAGAAAAGACCGCCACAATGAAATTAGTAGATCTTAATGGGTTTGATTTTGTTTGATTGAGAAAGGTTCACTAATTTGAAAAAAGCGAGATACGATGAGCAATTTGTACTCATCGATGTATCATAATTGGACTACTGGATTTAGTAAGTTAAAAAAAAGTAATTAAGCTTTTTAAAAAAAACGAGATGATAAGTCTCGGAAATAATCTATACGCATACTATCTCCTTACTAAAAATAAAAATGATAATTAGCCAAGAAGTTGATCAACAATTACTGAAGCTTAATTTACAAATCAGAAAAAAAAAAACTGTTAAGTTGATGACTGAACATTCTATTTTGATACTATCGTTTATGTAATGAAGGTTAAAGGCTGGTAACAATGAAATATTTGCATGAAATTGAATTGTGTTAATTACCATAAACATACACGGATACACACGTGCACACAGGTATAAGTGCTTTACAGCAAAGTGCTTTATGTTCACAAGTTAAATTAGATTAATATAATATAGGTTAAAATAATAAACTAATGTAAATTAGATTGAACAAAAGATAAGCTTTACTGTGATACTGGAATAGACAAACACGGTCATATGTGCACATACAAGGCACAAACAGATTTTTACTAATACAAAAGTGAGCCTGGATAATAATTATGTCAGGGAAAGATTTATTAAAGATGTGCTATTACCGGAAAGTGGGTGGAGCGGGCAGAACAGAACAATATTTACATGATTCTGTTCACTTGTATAAAGGCAGACATAAATAAACAAGTTGACATGATGCACGCTATATGAAAAAGTTTACAAAATTTATCTACCATAGGTAGGGTATGACATATATCTGTTGTGAATATTGCTGGTTGCAACTGAGTTCAGTTGAGGTATCCTTAAAAGTGTCGTTGTTGTCGTTGTCATTTCGCTGTCGTTATAGTCGTCATCACCGTTGTCGTTGGAATGGTCACTCTTTTAATGCAACAGTATGTGTAGTGGTTCTTTTTCTGAAATACTGCTCATTGCTACTTGTTTCAAATTAATCATATCAGTTTAAACTTCTAATGTTTAAAAGAAAAATGATTTTTTGAAATATTTCATTCTTTACGATCAAGAAGTAATTGAGAATCAAAATTAATTTGTTTCAAAAATTGAATTTACAGAAATGCTAGCAATGATTGTAATCTTTTGATATTTCGCACTAGTAAAATAATAGCAACGACGATAAAGCAAAAACAGATATTGTTTGGTATTACATTGTTCTGTTTAGCTTCTTCTAAACTGTGTATTTGATATCTGGGAAAGATTTAAAAGAAAAGAACTGATCAATATTATCATTGGTTTCATTTATAATTGACGCACACTAATCTGTAACCGGTATTTACAGGTATTGTAAAAAATTAGTTTTGCTACTGAGAGCAGAATTTTGGTAATATATTTTTTTTCTCTTTTTTGATCATCCAAGATACAAGGACATTTAAATTTGTGCGCAGCAGCGCAAAAGTAGCGTCGATGACGCATTTCTAATAGAATAACCAGATAGGCGGAATAATCAAACAAGCAACAGATTTTCCCTTCCTTTTTAATGTATGGTTGTTACTTGCTGTTAGCTTTAGTTTAGCATCATTAAGGTTACGAGATGCCATTTTTAGCAGTTAGATGCGATACTGATGGTAATATCCCGTGAAGGCAAAGCAAGACAAGACAAGGCAAAGCAATCACCACCATCATCATCACATCTGCAAGCAGAGTGATACGATAGACCTATTCCGGTTTCCCGCAAGAAGCTCCTTATTTTCGTTATTTCTTTTCGACTTCCACCGTTATTGCTTGTTGCTAACAACGATAACTGCTATTTGCGCTCTCTTTTCCACCTATCTCTATTGCGTTTTATTTACTCCGAAAAAAAAGTGAAATAATAAACAACGAAAAAAAAAAAAAAACGAAAAAACGTCGCTAATTAGCCTAATATTTGTTCTTAGACGTAATCGTACGTCTAAAACAATAATTATATCCAAGAATTATTAACTGTTTTTATACTTATTTGATGATGACTATTGTGGCCCAATTATCACACCTTATTATTTTATTACTACCTATTGAAATATGTGAAGCAATATTGTTAATAAACACAACATTACCAATGCTACCCGGTATGGATGTGATGAGTTCAAATAAGGAATTACACATTGGTATCATCGAACGAGTATCCAAAAGTGAATTCAGTTGGCTCAGGCGTCGACGTCAAATTATTGCTGGACCATTATATGAATGGCCATCCATAACAATCCCCTATATTATATGGGGTGGAGATTGTGAGTTTTTTTTAGCTTTCTCTTTTTAATTCCTAAAACTTTTCTTAATTCGCAAAACAAAATTTTAATTTTTAAGTATCTTTCTATCAAAATTTTAAGGGTTTTTCTATCATTTTAGCATAATATTATTCTGTAGGCATCTTCATTCCTTCTGAAACAATTAATTACTTTTCACTTTCACTGAATGCCCCTCAAATTCGAAACAATAATTTATATATTTGCTTGATAAGTTAAAAGAAATGCTAACGTATTTGTTTTACAAACAAATTAACATTAGTTATTGTTGCTGCTGTCGTTGTTATTACTGTTGTTTGTTAAAATGGTTATCTTCTGAAATATTTATGAATTAATAATTAAAAAAGTTTGAAATGCATTCAATGAAACATAATTGCTTGTGTATAGCAAATACTTAAATATAAATTGATGTGCTTATTTTATTTTATTCTCCAATAATTTTAAATTTGAACTTTATTATATTATGATGGTATTTGATGCATATGAAACAAGGAGGAGGAAAACAACAGAAGGAAAAGATTTCAAATTTCAAGGAGAAGGATGGAAAAGAGCGGAAGGAAGAGGAGGAGGAATTGCAAAACAAGTCTTTCGTTATTTCAAGTTTTTTGCCCTTTTAAGTCTCTTCGTTTAAGTGTGTAACAATAACAACAACAACAACACTATAGTATTAATTTATATTCAATATTAATTACTTGATTTTCCTCATCTTTGCTATAGAAATATAATAGCTAATATTAAATTCATTAGCAAATAGATAATGAAACGAATTTATGAATTTCTTTGAAATATAATGGTTAATGCGACCTTTCTTAAATGATTGTTTTTTGTGACTTCTAATGAAATATTTCATTCACATTAAATAATCATTAAAAAAAAGGAAGAAAAAGTAATATTAAAAGATACATCAAAAAAAAGTTTTATTATCTGCTCCTATCTAGATTATTTGATTTGACGTGATATCAACCTTACCACAAGTATTTCGAAGTTTTGTTACAAATAGTTGTCTCTATTTGTGAAATGAAACACTTCAGTATGCAAAGAGATAAGACCTATCTTAGTAATCTGATATGTTAGCTGAATCTACTTTAAAAACTTTATGCATTATTTCGACCTATCTTAGAAACCTGATGCGTTAGCTCAACCTATATTAGCAATCTGATATGTTAGTTTGACCCCTCTTGACTGCCTTAGAAAGCTATAATATGTATCTCTGAAGAGTTTGTTTTATCACTTATGTCTATAAGTTCTTTAAAAATAATACTTTTACAGGATTTAATTGATTGTTTAAATGCATACACATTTTACTAATTCCTTTTCGATTCATAGTCTGCAGTTAGGCTTTTGTACACTAATAAATTGTATAATTTTTTAATTAAATTGTATAACTAAACCTCTCGCCATTTTCTTCTCAACTTACGTTCCATGACTCTAATATTTTCCTTATTTACATTCATAAAAACCCAAATATGATAAAATGGAAAAGTGTTCGGTTCATAGGATAAAAAAGTATGAAAAAAGTTTTACATCTGATAAAAGTTTCAGTAAAGCTAGTTTTCCTGATTTACAACGAAATAATGTTTTGCAACAGTATTATTTTGATAAACTTGAATAATCCTTAAAATTAAGTTATTTACATAAACCAGAATTTTCACTGAATTAAAAAATCTCCTAATTGTTCCTATTCCGCTATTAAAATGCTTCTTTTCATTCAATTGTTTGAATGCAATTTGTGTGTAATGACGATAAGTGTGCAATTGGTAGAATGAGAGAAATTCTGGTATTTCTGCAGGCTGTTTGACATTTTTATTCTAAATTCAATTTACAACTCTTTCAATGTCATAATATAACAAACGCATGCTAATAACAATGTTTGATTTGATTGCCAACAAGAAACATTTCAATGATATCAACACTGATATCATTAAAATAAATGGCAGCGTAAAAAAGAAAGAATTGTTAATTTATATTGAGGAAAACTATGCAATATGACATCTGATGAGACTAATTATTGCATTTTTGATAGAACCGGATGGAACATTTTTTTTTTTTTTTTAATTTTATTTGAGTGATTTAAGACAAATGAAGGCAACTACAAAAATCAATTATTTATTTAAAGGATTAAGCGTAATTATTGAGATATGAATGAGATTTCAAACTAATGTAATTTTGTCGATTTGAATAGGCATTAAGCTTGTCGTAAATGAAGCAAAACTTTGGTGACAAAAAGCTGATTTCCTCATCAAAATAATCTATTTCTTTTTTACAATCTGACAAGGATAAATATTGTAGCGATAATAATTATTAATTAATATATTTATAGGATTGATCATAGTTTACGTTGCAAATTTTTGCTTGATCACCTCTTGTCAAAAGTTTCCAACAAAAAATTTTTATTGAAAATTTTGAAATTTTAATTTGGCTGTTGAATGCAGTTTAATTTAGCATTTAGCAATTTGGTGGAAAAAATGATAAATGATAGCATTTTACTAATAAAAAGTAAAAATTTTAACAAAAAGATAATTTCTTTTATATATCAAAGAGGAATAAAGGTCATTCATTGGTTTAACAAAAGAAGGAATGAAATGTTCCAGATGGTTACACATACTGTAATATTTGTTACTTCCCCAAGAGAAGGCATATTTCAAATTAATTGTAAGTAATTCTTCTTGACTTTTCAATTCTTATTTCACTAATTTTATGCAATTTTAAATTAGTTTACAATTTAGCAGATTCATCCGGATAAAAAAATCTCGTTTCCTTCCTTGAATTTAATTAATTGATAGAGATAATGAAACAATACTATTGCAAGGAATTAAATAAATCATGAAATGAGGGAGAGAGGGAAAGAGGAAAAGAATGAGAAAGAGAAGAGCAGTACAAGGAAAATATTTGTTTACATTTTCCTCACTACTACCACTACTTGTTTTTACGTTGCATTTCTGTAACCAGCTTGAATTGGTGATTTTAATTAAAACAGATGATAAGCAGTCATTATCTACATTACTATCATCATTATCATCTTCACAAATCATAATCATTGTCATCACTACCATCATCATCATAAATTATAATCATTATCACCATCATTATCAATCAATCAACTGAAAAGATTTAAGCTCATTTCACTTTTCGTTAAGCATAATGTAGATTTTATTCGAAAGTTTGAGACCATTAATGGAGAAATTTTTTATCCTGAAAACATAGTAAAGGAAACATCATTAAAATAGATAAAATCGATGAGAGTAAAACTAGTGTGAATTTATATTACATCAGAATTTATATTAAAATATTATTTCATTAGTGTATTACATTAGAATATAGCATTAATTTATATTACATTAGAACCTTTTAGGATTAATGTTATAATTTAAAAAACAATTTATGCATAAAATTTATTGGGAACATTTGCTAAACATACTCTTACAAAATTTTTATTAATTTACAACAACTAATCAATAATTCAACAACAAATTTGGTCATTCGTTAAAGTCTGGCGCATATATCAATGTTGAATTGTTCGTATTTGCAATTATTTTAGAAACAGATCGATTTGATCATAAATAGCTGAAAATAACAAAAATTCGAAAAAGTTTGGGAATTCAAGTTGTTCTTATTTTATGATTCTTTAGAGTCAAGTATTCCATCTGAAAATATTTAAGTAAAATAAAATCGAATAATTCAATTTGAAACAATTCAGCTTCTGATGATGACATTTTTCGCGACAATTGTTCGTTAAGTTTCGCACATATACATCTCTAGCCATTATCTTTCCAATATTTGATCTGATCTGAACTACACGTCATTATTTTCTTGTAAAATGTGTGCGTATTTGTTATGTTCTCATGCAATTGACGTCACTCGAATCTTAGATACTTTAATTTTCTAATTTATTGAGCGTTTTTAATATGACATTTTGTAAGGGTATCACATAATATAATAGTACGAGTTTCATCTTTGGTTGATATCTGTATTAGTAATATGTTAAGAGTATCAGTAGTAGTTAATAACGATGAAGCAACTTTTCCATGTCCTTATTGAACCACAATTCTTTATTTCATTTATACTACTTGAATACTACTGAATATTCGACAACTTTAGGGATACTTTTAATATTCTCGATGTCCGTCCATTTGTGTATTCATCGAGTATTCAATCGATAATTTAATGTAAAATAATAATTCAAAGAAATATGAAACCACAGTAAATGCGAAATGCTACTCCTTTTTTCTGAAGCAAGAAGTCAAAATGTCAGGAGTTAAAGATAAAACAATAAATATATGAGTAATGACAATAATAATAACTAATAATAAATTTTCATGTTTGGTTAATTTATGAAATTAACCTCAACGAACTGAAAGTTTAAATGGTCGTGTTAATTCTGTATATAAACCATGTTTAATGAAATTTTTTTGATGTAATTAATCATACTGTCAAATTTTTACTACTTTCGTATGACACACATTTGATGAGAAAAATTTCCCATGACATCAGCTGAAAATTAGCGAGAACAAATAATAACGAACTGAAAGGGAAATTTATTTCAGATGCTTTTCGAAATCTTATCCGACGTGGAATACGTATGTGGGAAGAAGCTACATGTTTAAGGTTTCAAGAAAATTTGCAAGCAAGAGATGCAATCAGGTATATTTTTTTCCGCTTTTGCAGTGAAAACAGTTTTTCATGTTTACTCTGATGCTTATTTAAAATGGTAAAATTTTTTTGATCTCAATTTAGTTTATTCAAAATAAGTGAAATGGTTTTTTTTTTTTTTTTTTTTTTTTTTTTTAAGAGTAGTTTATAGATATGTACTTGAACGAGGTGATAGTTGTTTCACAGAATATATTGGAAGAAATGGAGGATATCAGGATATCATCATAGGGAGCGAATGTGCCGAGGTAACAATTTATGTCTGACTTATCAAAACTCGTTTTTTTTTTTATTTCCAGTTTTTATTTTCTGTCTGGTTTATTTTAATGACTGTGTTTTGATTCACTTTTTATGAAATTACTCATATGGCTTGCTTATCCAATAACAATAATAGTTTTCTTGATATTAACTAATACAAACATTTTTATTTATACTGAATTGAAAAGGAAAAAAAAAAACTTATTTCCAAAATCATCAAAAATTCACAAATAGTGATAGCAAGTAAAATTATGTCTATGTCTTAACATTCATTTATATATATGGATCACAAAAAAGCAAGTTTCAGAATACCAGTTTGAAGACACTTTTGTACGGGGATGGAAGTAAATAGTGGGGGAAAAAAGGAAAGTTATTCAATTCAAATCATTTGAATAACCCTCCGTAATTGAAATAGTAATTTAAAAGCGTACTTGAACAATCTTTTTATTTTTGAAGAATCAGTTTTGAAAGAGAATTAACTGATGAATAAATCTTATGGCAAAATTTAACAATGAGTGAGTAAATATTAATTTGATGATTTGATTATCTATGGCGAAAATAAAGAGTAGGTATTGTATAGGCAGCATCTCTAAAGGCATATAATACGAATAGTCAGTATTTTAACAAACTTATTAAATTTTAAACTGAAATTGTAAGCTTCGTTAAAGATTCAACCATAACAAAGTTCAGTATGTAATAGCGAATGCCGTCATCAGTACGATGTGCATAATGATTAGAAAATTTTCATAGTCCGTCACTTGCTGGCAACGTATTTGTCTCACAGGTAGAGTCATCTTAGTCATCTTATCAAATGTCTCTCCCTAATGGGAAACAATCATTCATCAATGGAATAGCTAGAATATCTAAAGGAATACGTTGTGGCACACGAAACAGGACATGCACTGGGCTTCTGGCATACCCATCAACGGCCTGATCGGGATCGATACATCTCAATCAACTGGAAAAATGTTATGGATGAAGCTACAGCATCTTTCATGCCATTTCGGAGTATGCTTCAAGCATTTGGTATTAGACAAGTAAGTTTTATTTTGTATAAAATAAAATTTCAATATTTTTATTTGTGAAAGATTTTTAAATTTGTTAGAAATGCTTTCATTGAAAATGGCAGACATTTCTGAACAACTTTAATATAAAATCTAAACGTCACGAATTAATGATACCTTTGCAATGAATATAATATATTGTTAAAAATGTTAAAAAATATTTTTTTTAATTTTTAAAAGTTATATTAACGATTTGTAAATATCTTAAGTACGGTAAGTAAACATTTACAAAATTTTGATAAAAGCCACTTGAGCTGACATATTATTTTCATCTTGCATTTCATATCATGAATACTTAAAAAATGCTTAGGCTTCTATTCAATCAGTTGTCTGATTTCTAAGTTTTTATTATTTCATTTAGTTTTATTCTATTTGCATATGCTTTGTCCTTTTAATCTTAAGAATTTAAAATTCATTTCAGTTTAAAATCACGAATCAACGAGACATTTGCAATGAATGCATAACACATTGTTAAAAAATAGTTTTAGAATTTTTAAAAGATATAAAACATTAGAGGGCAAAGATGAAGGGAAAGAATGGAATATTCATCACTGATAATTTAAGTTGTGCATACATTAATTTGTTAAGGAAAATGCCTTGATGTCCTTATTATTGTTCTGTTTTGTAAAAGTTCTTTATATAATGTTTGATGTGAAGTATTGGTGACAGAGGGCTCAACTTACATGGAATGCTCTTGCTGATACCAAATAATCCGGTAATTATTAATGATCAGGCAAAAGGTAAATTAAGTATTTTAACATTTGAGACTTTTGGTACCATCAAGAGCACTCCACAGAATGAACTTCCTTCTTCATACTCAATCTATAATATTTTTGAAGATAAACGTAGAAGAATTATTTTTCAGATTTCTTCAAATTTCTCATATTTTCAGATATCACCTCGACGTATACCTTATGATTATGGTTCATTAATGCATTATCATGCTGTGGCGCATGCTGTCCGTGTATCTGATTTCACTATTGTTCCCAAGGAACTGAAATATGTAACGACTATGGGTACCGAGAAAATGGCTTTTTTGGATGCCAAAGTGATCAATGATATCTACTGCTTAAGTATATCATTCACAATATGCTAAGATTAAGCAATTAAACGTTGAACTCAATATTTAACAAGGAAAGACAGTTTAAAGTTGGATCATATTTGAACATATCTTATTATATTTACAGATGCTTGTGCAGGTCGACGACTACGGCGTTGTTTAGCAGGAGGTTACCCAGATCCAAATAATTGCAATCGATGTCGATGTCCAGAGGGTCTAGGTGGCTATGATTGCAGTATATTGCAACCATCGAGTAAGAAACGTTTTTTTTTTCCTTTTTTTTTTTTTCTAGAAAAAGTTTCTTCCAACTTTCATGTTTAATTATTCAAGTTATTATCGAGACATGCATTTGTCACTACTGTTTGAAAATATGCAGAAAAAGGGAATAAGTTTTACGTTGATGAGTTTCATGTACATCTTGATGCCATATAAATTATCGCTCATTATGGAAGCATTCGTTTCAGTTTAAATTTAAAGTTTCAGCCTATTTTCTTTTAAGCAAAAGATTTCCATTTTACTGATAATCATGCTTATCATAATAATAAACGCGATTATCAGATGTTTCACCTTTCTTTCCACTCTTCATCAGAACTAGTTTTGAGACGAATTATGTCTTGCGAAAGGAAATTTTCGAAAACAGGTTCACTTCAAGTGCGAAACATACAAGAGATGGTACTATGAGAATACTTTACAAGGGAGAGAGAGGTATAGGGAGAGGATGGGAAGAGAGAAAGGATTTACAATTCGCAGATTGAAATTTCACTCATCTCTCTGGTTGTAAATGACATGTATTTAAGTAAATATGTTTATGTTTGTGAATACTGATTGCTCGGATGTGTTTGTAATCGGAGAAAATGAGAGAGAGAAAGGTCGGTATGCTGATAAAATTCTAAGAATCTTGAAGAGTTTTTACTGATTTAAGACTTCGAAGAAAAAGCTGAAACGTATAATGGAAATGGAAAACTGAAGGAAGAAAAGTGAGAACATTAAATGAAAAGAGAATTTAAGTTTAAATCTATTGATGGAATCCTTAGACTAATGGAATTCAAGGTCAAAAAAGGTAATATAGATTCTAAGAAGGTTTGCTATTGCAATTTTAGTTCGGAAAAATATTTCTAGCATGTGGTGCTGAATTACATGCAACAGATAAATGGCAAACATTAACCAGTCCAAAAGGTGGAAATATCGATTGTTATTGGAGGATATCGGTAAGCGATATGAATTCTTGATCAATTAGATATTAACATTACTAGTATTAGTGATAGCTTCATTCATGTACTGATAATGATTGCTATTAATTATTCCTCTAATCACTCATTATTATTTCCACGCGACACATTTTGTCATTATTTTTTTCCTACATATTTACTATTTAGTTTTGTTTTTTTTATACTTTTCGTTATTTCTTATGTTCCTTTCTTTCACAAAAGACTGCTTCAGTTCTATTTCTTCATTTCCGGTAAAATAGGCTTAATTATTTCAGGTTCCGGCTGGAAATCGAGTACGTTTTCGTCTTAGTGACGGAGAATTTCCATGCTCATACGGGTGCCAATCATATGTAGAAATTAAGCATAAGCTTGATATTAGGTTGACTGGTTTTCGAAGGTATGGTTTTAGTTTTCAATTATCTTTCTAACTTCATTTATCATCACTGATATTGCATATCATATATAGATCATAGTGAGAAATGAGCATAAGCTCAATGTTCTTCTTGTGGTTTCTAGTTTCGTTAGTATTAGAAGCAAGGAGACAAGTGTTAACCACAATTATTTATCACAAAGATTTGTGTTTTCCATAATTACTTCCTCTTCTTTTAGTTGTTGCTATCGACCAAAAGAAGATTCTATATCAGAGAGTAATCAAATTTTCGTTATCTTCCATCCAAATGGAAAAATGGCAAGATTCACTCTTCGATATATCAGACAACAATTATAGTGAATTGATACTAACTTAAATCACCCAATCAAATTTAGTTTATTCGTAGATTCAGGAGTGAAAACTAAAATGAGAACAATCACTTTTAAGTGATTGAAACAGCTTCATTAGGAAATATTCTTCCATTAGGTTTCTTTTAACATGATTTTGTATTCATACTTGCTATGTATTAATTTCTTTTCACTTCTCAGTTTTATTGAAATCTTTAATGTAACCATTTTTTCATTTCATTTCATCTGATAATATCAAAGTTACTACTGATATTCACAATGAATGCTTGAAATACATTCATAAAAGGTTTTCATTAGTCTACTTTCTTTCTTTAGTTTATTGTTCAGAAGTTTGCAAAAGTCTCTCTTTAAAAAAGCTAAACTTATATTAGAAACTAAGTCGCTTTCACAGTACATTCATATGAACAAGCATATTTACAGATGAAAAGGGGAAGACAGATCATTAATTTCTATTTTGGATAAGATAACATAAAGTTAGCAAAAAGTTTATGAAAACTAAGTTTTCATTCTACTTCGCTTTCTGTTCGCCTTTATTTGACGTCAACAAAAAACTGAATACTTTTATATGATGTATAAACATATGCAGTGGTGTCGCGATGCTTTAAATTTCTCCTCAATATAGGCGAAATTTTGTAACACGTAAATATTTAAATTGTTGATTTGATTGCGCATATAAGTGAAAGCTTTGTCAAATGGAACATGATGAAATCCTGATAAGCAAGTTAGTTAATTTCATGGAGCTAATTGCTATTATCTCAAGTTCTTTTTAGTAATTATAGGTTTCTTGAAAGCCCTGAAGCTTCAGTTCATTTTTGTAAATTCTGGTTTTGCATGAAAGGCTTTCCGATTTTTACTCGCTCAGAAGAAGTATGGTGATAGCAAATGATCCAGAAGATTTAAGTGACTGAATTGAATAGAAATCAAAAAGCTTTTTTTTTCATTGTTTTTTTGCTACATAATCATCAGTTACCTTTCCATCATTGTCATCGTTTAATTGACAAAGTGCTACCTTTAGTTCAAAAATATAAAATAGTCTCGATTACAAGAAAAGAATAGTTGTAATGATACGAGACAAACGTATCCTGACGTAAATATGTTAGAATATTAGAACTTGAAGTATTTTAATATTTAAAATTTTAATTGATATCTTTTAACGAATTTCTTTTTGGTTCTTTTCATATTACATATAACTATAAATTATAAATGTTGTCATTATGGAGGCGTCATTTTCTCATTTCCGCATTAATTTTTGATTATTCTTTGTTTCAATAAAAATTTTGCTTCGATGCATTCTGTTGCTTCTTGACTTTCCTTCTAAACGTTATAAACGTTCTCCAACGGATTGCAATAAAGGTGCAAAATCCGGAAACAGTTAAAATGGACAAATAAATTAATGCTGAACCAGCAACTTCGAATACTGAAAATTATACTTATAAGTGAATAATCAATCAATCTATCAACACCGTTACTTCATAGTATATATGGGGAAAAATGGCGGAAGTGTTTCCAATGAGAAAAATAAGATATAAAGAGTTTCCACGAATGTTTATAACTATTCTACACATCATATCTTTCTTATTTATCCTATCTCTGTTGCTAGTTTACTATACCCAAAAATCATAGTCTAGCTTTTTCTTTATAAACGCTAAGATACATTAAGGTTTCATTAAATATGTATGACCTTACGCTGGAAATGATTTGCTTTAATTGTTGGGTCTTTGCCCCTTTCTGCTATTCTTTAAGATACAAAACAGTTAAGAATAAAAGACTTACTATCAACTCGATTTCTATAACAATGAAAGAGATGATATACGAGTGCAATTAATAGTAAAAATATGATGGCTAGCTGAAATACTGTTCATGGTGATTAATAATAATAATAAAGCAACTAAAAGAAAAAACTTTAATTATGAGAAACAAAAGAAGAAAAGTTTGAAAAGGATTCTAAATTGTCAAAGAGGATAGAAGTTAATTAAAATTAAAACAATAATGATTACCGTTGCAGCAAGTAAGGGCCAAATAAAATTCTCGTTTATCGCGGAATAAGCCGCCAAAATAGCAATAATGATAAATATAATAAAACAGAGGTAGTCTGCAAGAGCATGCACACCTTTACCTTTCTGGATTATAGAAAGTAGCAACAAGAGAATAGCCAAGATGATATTCACTGCGGACATTACATACATGCATGACTGCAATCAGTGCATGAATATGCAGGAAAATTGTGATCAAAGGAATAATTTCATCCACTTCTACGGTTATTTATCAAGTTCCCATTCAATTTCAATATCACATAGGTGGCTGCTTTTTGCATATATATAATATTGGGATGCCAAAAAAGGATGTAGAATGGGTAGCAGTGGTCATTTCATGTTGAAATGTTCGTTTTGATATGCTCAAGGCTGATTATATCAAATGATTGTGCTAACCTTTATTGAGAAGATGCATATTTTAGAATGATGAGCCATAAGTGAATGAAATAACTATTAGTGCTGAATGAAAATTACAGTTTTACAAAAAATAAAGTATTATCAAGTGAGTTATATTTGTTTCGGCAAAATAGTTTTTCAAATTAGTCGTAAAAATTTTAATAGTTTATTTTAATTTCTAAATCATTACAGCTACATTAATCATTTAGCAAAAACAAAAAATGAATAAATAAACAAATGAATAAATTGATTTCAACTACCTAATGATATGAAATAACATGAAATCGAAAGAAAAGTTAAATTATATTTTTATTTACTTTCTGATGCTTGTTGCAAAATTGAAAAATTAAAATTAAGAGATGGGTCAGAAGATATTATGGATCACTGCACTCATATTGAATTACGGAATAACTATTTCTTCACTTGCATTCTAAAACATCACTAATTTTCGGTTTAGTATTTATTTATTGAATTGATGGAACAATAATTAGATATAAAGATGTAATTGATCCAACCTGTTATTGGCAATGAAAAATTATACAATAAATGATTACACTAAAGCATATCACCTATCAGTGCTCTCAATATATCACCCATGTAATAAAATATAGAAATGTTCTAGTTTCAGTGTGTATGAAATAAATAATAACTTCGATTTGCTAATGTAATTTTACTTGAAAGCAAGTGAGATATTCTACATGAATATACATGAACTTGTAGAAGTTCATGTAAATTAAATCCTTGAAGTAATGCTATCACGGATAATCGAATAATTGATTATTCATAAACTAATTTAAGCAAATTTTGCGTAACAATGCTAACATAAATGTAATTATTATGTTGAATTTTTCAACTGTACGGTCTAACTGCAAAAGCATTTCATTCTGATTTATAAGAAGAAAATTACAAATAGTAGAATGGCACTTAATATTGATCCACCTGAGATTACTTTTCCTGCCGCTGGTGGCAGTACAACTGTTAATATTATCAATCAAACAGAAAGTCGTTTAGGCTTCAAGGTAATATTTTTAGTTCAAATTATAATTTTGCAGTTGTATACTTGAGGCATTTGATTTTCCATATTTACTTATAAGTATTAATTCAAGAAATATGTTTCAAAAGGCTATAAATCATAAATTGATACTGCATATAAGCTCTAGAAATGAGATGATCAATGTTACAAGCAGTTTTAAGTGAATGATACTGCCTGGAAAATTCTGTAACTCATTTATAGATTTGTTTGATAGAGAATAAAGATTACATTTAAGGTTGATTAGCATTGGATGAGTAAGCTTTAAAATCTATTTTGATACAATAAATGAATTTATTAGAATTTCTCATTTCCAATTTACTTCCTCATTCAACTTTGATAAAATAATCAAATAATTAGTAATTTATATCTATTGTTCAAAAAAAAAAAAAAAAGAGAATCCAGGTAAAATCAACAAACAATGAACATTATCGCGTTACCCCAGTATATGGATTTGTTAATAAAAGTGACAAAACTGAATTAACGATAATGCGTCTGCAAGGACCACCCAAAGACGATAAATTTGTGGTGCAATGGGCTGAGGTGCCAGATGAAGAAGATGATCCTCAGGCACCATTTAAAGCTGGGGCTCAAGCTGGTGAAGTGATTCTACCTGTAAAAGCAGAATAAATTCCCCGTCGAGTCTTTATATCATTGCTTTCCTATCAATTATTTTATATTCACTGTCGAAGTGATTATTAGTTTGCATGCAATAAACTCATCGTTCCTTAATTTTTCAACATATAAAAAAATAACAGTGTTTTCACAGATTCTTAATGTGAGCTGAGATATTATCATTTGGATATACGTGAAGCATTGTATTTTGGACACACGTGACAACTATCATTCATGTATCAGCATTTAAGTGCATTTGGATATACGTCAAGCTTAACTTAATAATTGTGTTAATGATTCAGTACATATTTCATCAGTTTAAGTTTTAAAATTGTTAGCAATTTCTGTCTATTTATAGTCGATCTACTTTTGAACAGTATGTAGTAATCGTTACGTCATATTTCCACAAATATTAATTTTGAAAGAATAAATTTAAATTTGTATAATTTTCTGAAAAATCGTAAATTTTTAAACCTAAGTTATTAGAAATTTTAGAAATTCTGATTAAGACGGATCAGATAGAAATTCTGATTAAGACGGATTCAGACGGATTTTATCATTTCATAATATTTTTTGAACAATAATTTCTTGTGTCACTCCTTACTAAATAGTTTATTGATAAATGAATCAGATCAAAATTCAAATTTGCCCTCAATGACGAAACATATGTGCTGACATCTTTTGTAGATATCATAGCATTTTCCCACTGCTATTTTGCATAAATTGGTTGTTTCTTACTGCAATGCATAAAAAAGAAAATTTAGAAAGAAAAAAAATCTCGAATAATATAACAAAAAGGATTGCAACACTAGGAGACTCATCATTTAAGAGAATTGAACTGTGAAAGTACTCTGTCAAATTAGGACGACAACTGAATTACAACTGATACATTAATGAACTTAGCATAATTAATTCGAAACTGTTGAGCAAAATTACGAATATAGTTCGTTTAGGGTAATATAAAATCGATCATTTCTGATTGTTCAAGTGTAGGAAATAAACAATTTAATAATGCAAGAAAACTAATAAAGAAAAATAAACGACGTAATTAATTTTCAACCTAAACTAGACAATATGAAGTTATTAAACGATATTTATGGGCGTCAGTGGTGTAATGGTCAGCATGGTTGCCTTCCAAGCAATCGACGGGGGTTCGATTCCCCCCTGACGCATCTGGGAGCAGTATTTTCTCTGGTCCACCGCCATTTTACAGGTTGTGGCCACCACTCAAAATATCCTACAACTCAGTTGCAACACACACCATACTGCTCTACATTATGTTGGCTTATGACCTGGTATGTATTTCACATTAAGGTTTCCAAGCAAATTTGGCTATGATACTTGGAAGTAATGCAGAACAAATAAAGTGCATGCTGAGTGAGAAGCATCTATGATAGATTGATTAAAAATGTACAGGCAGACACACCGACTGTATGCCTAATCGATCCTAAGAATGAGAAGTTTTAATCTGTTTGGAAATATCACTGATAATTTACAATGCATGGTCACTCTCAGGTAATCGTGATGATCGCCACTGGTCTTCTTCGTGCGCTGTTAACTTTTGATAAGCAAATCGTCCGAATGCATTTATGCTTTGATTACTTTGCATTAGCATTCAACGTGATCACATTGGTACTATTCCTTCCGGCCTTATTCTTACCAAATTCTGAAGGTCGCAATTTCGCTAATATATTACTGACTGTGTGCTTTCTGACTCAAATACCACTGCAGATATGGGCCATAACGGTGTTGCGTTCATGTCTGGAATTCTTCGTTTTGGTGCATGTATTGGTTGAATTGGCGGAGAGATGATTCATACAGAAATGAGACATTTGAAGACTGATAATATTACTAGAATATAAAGCTATGATAATTATTCTCATCATATGTTGCTGATAAAGACAAAAGTAATATTTAAACAAATGAACAACAAAATAGAAAAGTTTCTCGACGTACTACGGATGTCTTCTGATGAAATCTGTTTAGATCATACCTATCATGCTTAACAACATGAATTTCGCTTTAATTGAAGAACAACAAGCACTCTCTAACACTTCGGAATTTTCACCACCATAGCATATTTAGTGTACCGTGTTCAACAAACAGAGTGATAATCTGGCATTGTATCAGTGGTACCACATCACCACATTTAATTCTTGGCTTAAAGTTAATTGGATGCTGAAATACCTTGGAAACATTTGTGATACATGTCTATGTAATGCAGCTGTGATGCCGTGTATAAATATTCATACAGTTTAACATAATTTCACAGCTAAAATATGTTATTGTCAACAAATTTGTTTATAAAAACATAATTTCACAGCTAAAATATGTTATTGTCAACAAAAAATTTGTTTGTTTATATCACTCAGTGTCTTCTCATTCACTTCAAAAACTTGCATCTCATCTGACCATCAACCACATTGAACTTAGTTTTCCCAAAAGAAAATAATATAAGACTTTGAACTAGCTTTCCAACTTATGAGTTTCAGGTTCTTGACATGGATGTCCATATTAACAGCTGAAACTAGTTTATTATTTTGCTTCTTGAAAAGAATTCCTTAAATCATGAGTCTTAGAATATCGAGTTGTCCGGAAATCAATCCTCTTCCCAGTGTTATTTGAAGTCTATTTTTGAACGAACTGCTTCTCTATTTGACAAATAATTTTTCCACACTTTCTTTGAAACATACATCAAAATTCATCTGCTAACTTCCGTTTAAATAACTCTAATCGATAGATAATTTATCTCAAATGAATTTTATTCATTACAATTGATTAAGTTTAATAAATTTATAAACTTAATCAATTGTAATGATTTTTTGTAATGATTCATAATTGATTTTTTATTTGTGCGAATTATTCATTTGCATTTATTTTTCCCTTAATTAATCTGATATTATCTTTAATGAAGTAATTATCTCCTTGCAAATTAAGCTTACAAAAGGATAATTATACAAGAGCCAAATAGTTTAACACTCAATTTTGCTAGTTAGTCTGTCCAATTGTGACAAAGTATGCGTGAAAAACATAAAGAACAAGTGATCATTTTACAGGTCAGTCTTGATGACCTTCCTGTTTAGTTTTCTTCTGACCTTATTCAACCTTACGACAAGTGAAATAATTTTAACAGAGAATGTTAACTATGTATAACATATGGATGACAAATCTTCTTCACCAGTCCCTTATTTTCTTTCATTTCAAGTCAGAAAACTTCTTGTCCTTAATGGCTGAACTTCAGACTTAGGTTAAGAAACTTAGTATGAAATTTTAGTTCATTCAAAGAATTACTACTTCTCTTCTTTATAGCTAACTTGACGTTGCCAGAAATGTGGCAACTTTACATCATTGAATCTAATGACGGTTTACTGAGACATCTTGTTATACGATATTTCTCTTCATTAGATTCATTTTCATCATAGTTATTTCGCACTGAACGTCATGACCCCTCGGAATAATTTCAGTATATAGTATTGGATTAATCAAACAATAGCACGTAATTCTAGTTATGAAAGTTAACGATGCGTAAAAACAATTAAATAGGCAATTAATTGCTCGCATTATTCATTTCTACTGGTTAGAAGGAATGCGAAAGAAAATGGAAGGACTTCTTGTATGGTATACTGGGCTTTAATTTCTTTCTTACTTTTTGTACCTCACATATTGGAGTAATCTTACGGAGATTATACGCTAGCAGACGTATGGATGTAAAATTGTTTGATAGGTTGGATAAGGTATAGCGTAACAAAGTTAAGAGCCAAGTATTCCATTATCTACAACTATCCAACGTTATATTTTCAGATGAAGGGCATATGTAGACTTAAAGGAATCACAATGGATAAGAATGGGTAGAAAGCGGTGTAAGGTAGGACGAGAAGCGCGGATGTGAGATTTGCTGGTATTTTGTATGTCTTTTCAAGAATATATTTCAGGCTGTTTGCAAGAATGAATACGGAAAGTGATGAATTAGTTGCTGAGTTGCGGAAAGCTGTATCCATCAAGAAATCAGGTTACTATTTATCATATTTAATCTTCTTTAGAGCACTCCTATTATTTTAAATTTTTAGGAAGGCGCGATGCAGTTCTTTATCTTTCATTCACTCTCTCTCCTGCTTTACACATAAATGCTTTTAATTGCAGAAGTGGCTCATTTGAAGGAAGAATTTGGCAATTACAAAAAGCATTTGGCTCTATTGACATCGGAAATTGCTGAAGGTTTGTCTGATCTCTCTTATAAATTTCGAAAATTTCACCTTCGGCAACGATTTTTGCGTACTAGTTTTATGATTGCTGATAATATTTTAGCTAACTCTAAATTTTTGGAGTATTGAAGCAGTTTTGATTATCAGATGATTTCTCTACTTAGAATTGAAAATCTCTTTCTGAAAATTGGTAGAAAGTTGTATTGCAATTTTCCTACGTAGCATATTGAATGCTTACTGAATATATTCGTGATGGTTATAATATATAAGCAATACAGATTTCATTATTTATAGGAAGAGCGGAAATAGCTGCTAACAGAATCAAGATTGCCACTTTGGATGCTGACAAATTCTCATGCGTTCAGATAGAAAAGCTAAGTACTGAATTAATCGATAAGTAAGCATTTTGATCAACACTTTTTTGTTTATGCAGACTTCTTTTTGTTTTCTTGATTTACTATTCATACTTTTCAAATTATCCCATCAGTTCAAATAATCGTGTCACACATTCTATTTTGTTTAAAGTTCAATTTACTTCTTTTTGTATTAATTGTTGCTTTCCATTTTCTTTTGAAATATCATTTAGATTTGATGTTATGTGTAAAGAAGTATGTGCAATAAACGAAGAAGCAGAGAAACAGGTTGTCGACTTGCAGTTGGAAATTGAAGCAACAAAGGATGTCAAAAATGTTATTAGCGCTTATGAGGAAACATTAGGAATGTTACGTATTATGGTAGGTCTTTTCTTTGCTGTTTTTGTGTTCACCAATTGATCATTTCATGTTAGCTTCTCAACTTAGTGCTCTTATCAATTTTGTCTATAGCCATTTCAAATTGAAAAGTTATTTCAAATTCTCTGAAACTTACAATAAAAAACCTAAAATTAAAACCTACATCCTTTCTCACTGAATGCTACCTGCTTTTGAGTTTTTTTTTTTTTTTTTTTTTTGGGATTTTACGAAAGAACTTCTGGGATAAAATTCTAATCAAATTCTTTTAGAGATTTTGTGACAACGATGGCATGAATGATACACGTAGAGATATTGAAAATGCACAGAATGAATGTAAGCTACTCATTCTGTTTGGGTATTACTTAATGATTTCTTCTGACGTTTATCAATTGGGGAATTAATGATGTGTTTCAGTGCAGATGCTGTCAGATGAGATGCAAGTTTTTGAAGTGAATGAGAAGACACTGAGTGATAAATTGAGTACTGTTGCATACACTGACATTCCACTGGTAGTTAAACATCAAATTTAGTAAGTTTTTACTTCCAATTTGCAACATTTTTCATTCATCTAATTAATTATGCAAAATCAATCATACTCATATTTCCAAGAATGGATTTTATGTTCATCCTAATGATGCTAATAAGATTCAAGCCCATCTAATAGCCACTCGAAATTCCATTTCCCCATGGAGTTTCAATATACTCTCCCATTAAGGAGGACTGATGGGAGAGTGACAAAGTTTTAAAATTTATGTTGTTCACAATAGGAATTCATTTGCAGCGACAATTTAAAGAAGCGTAAAGGGGAATTGATTCGCAAACTTATGCATGCACGACTCAGTCGAAGCCGTCTGGATACCAGATTTGTGTTGAGCGATTTGTGAATATATCATACTACTATACCAATGTATTGGCGTATTGTTGGAGCTGGAGGTTCTACAGACACTAAGATGAGCAAACTTTTTTACTGATGGCAGAACCCGAGAAGGAATAAAACTAGGAGTATCTTCAGTATTGTTATTTTTTGCTGAATTTAAATACGTTGTTTTTCATAACCGTTTGTGGAATATTGCAAGACAGAACAATACTTCATATTGGACAGTAATACAATCTTTTTGTTTGAGTGATAAAAAGTATCAATTATAAGAAAAAAGGAGATGATGATTAATTTATATTTTGTGTTCAATGATCTTTATGCTTGTTTATAAACAAATTTGTTGACAATAACATATTTTAGCTGTGAAATTATGTTAAACTGTATGAATATTTATACACGGCATCACAGCTGCATTACATAGACATGTATCACAAATGTTTCCAAGTATTTCAGCATCCAATTAACTTTAAGCCAAGAATTAAATGTGGTGATGTGGTACCACTGATACAATGCCAGATTATCACTCTGTTTGTTGAACACGGTACACTAAATATGCTATGGTGGTGAAAATTCCGAAGTGTTAGAGAGTGCTTGTTGTTCTTCAATTAAAGCGAAATTCATGTTGTTAAGCATGATAGGTATGATCTAAACAGATTTCATCAGAAGACATCCGTAGTACGTCGAGAAACTTTTCTATTTTGTTGTTCATTTGTTTAAATATTACTTTTGTCTTTATCAGCAACATATGATGAGAATAATTATCATAGCTTTATATTCTAGTAATATTATCAGTCTTCAAATGTCTCATTTCTGTATGAATCATCTCTCCGCCAATTCAACCAATACATGCACCAAAACGAAGAATTCCAGACATGAACGCAACACCGTTATGGCCCATATCTGCAGTGGTATTTGAGTCAGAAAGCACACAGTCAGTAATATATTAGCGAAATTGCGACCTTCAGAATTTGGTAAGAATAAGGCCGGAAGGAATAGTACCAATGTGATCACGTTGAATGCTAATGCAAAGTAATCAAAGCATAAATGCATTCGGACGATTTGCTTATCAAAAGTTAACAGCGCACGAAGAAGACCAGTGGCGATCATCACGATTACCTGAGAGTGACCATGCATTGTAAATTATCAGTGATATTTCCAAACAGATTAAAACTTCTCATTCTTAGGATCGATTAGGCATACAGTCGGTGTGTCTGCCTGTACATTTTTAATCAATCTATCATAGATGCTTCTCACTCAGCATGCACTTTATTTGTTCTGCATTACTTCCAAGTATCATAGCCAAATTTGCTTGGAAACCTTAATGTGAAATACATACCAGGTCATAAGCCAACATAATGTAGAGCAGTATGGTGTGTGTTGCAACTGAGTTGTAGGATATTTTGAGTGGTGGCCACAACCTGTAAAATCGCGGTGGACCAGAGAAAATACTGCTCCCAGATGCGTCAGGGGGGAATCGAACCCCCGTCGATTGCTTGGAAGGCAACCATGCTGACCATTACACCACTGACGCGTCAGAAATCTCTCTAGAAAGCCGTCTGAACAATCTCAAAATAAGTTCGAATTTGAAACAGTTTAACGTACTGAGAAAGTCCACCGCTGTGAAAACGTAGAATAATTGCAGTAAGTGTAGCGAGGACATAAATGTATTCGAAGATAGCAATGGCTGTACAGCCGCAGCGAATAAGACAAGAAGACGAGCAACACAATGGCTCCAATTCCAAATGACGCTCGCAAATCCTGATGATTATTGCAAATGTTTACAGAAAAGGACCAACTACTGGCAGATTATAGTTCGAAAAATGAATAGATCTTATTGTGTAAAAATGAAATCAGCTAGAAAAAACATGAAAATGGTGTAAACACTTACTTGGGGTCAAGTGGTACAACCTTGTTATTCTTCCTTTGCCTGGAAGTCATCGTATGATTTCCGCTTACCGGTATTCTTTGTGTCATTATCATCCGGTGTTTCGGGGAATTCTGTGACGATACTGCAGCAAAAAGGTGTATAAAAGGAAATTATATGAGAGATGAAGTAGTTATTGCACTGTAACTGAATGTCTAAGTGCTATCAGTGCTCCCGAGGATTCTGTGAATGGAATGACCACCGAGATCATCAGATCCATGGCCCTAATGAAGTCATTCCATATTTCGATTTAACCTCATAAATTTTGCACCTACGCCAAAGCTGAACATGATTTCATGAGATGAACTGCCTAAGATAGACAAAACAGAACCTGAGTGACAACAATGGCAGTCGAAATGTCGTAACCACTTAAGCACTGACCAATGTGGAATCACAGGATAGTGCTCTACCCGTCCTCCAGACACTTCGGTAGATTTGATGTCATTATCTGACACTACCTGTTAATGCACATTGTTCATTATCTTTCTACTACCTGCATCATTCTTTTCTTCCTTAATCGTAATGAGATTTCGACCGTACCACTAATGAAAGTAGTGAAGTACAGTATCTTTGCTTCGATGAGTGAAGACAAAAGTCATTTAAGCATATATTGATTAAATACTGTCATAACATATACTGAAATTGACTTTAAATTGATCAGACAGAAGCTAAACAACTCTGTATACATCACTGAAGTCTTAGCTAATAATAGATAAATGGCTGGATGGATAGAGAGACACACTTACTTGTTGAGTGGTTACTCTCGTGGCGTTCTTTTCATCTGTCACCGATTGTCCTTCTTCCCTTATCCAAAACATTCAGCGCCTAAAATAATGCCAGCCATATAACAAACATAAAATGACAACAAATAATAATGACAATGATCATATAAAGGCAATCGTCACAATCCATAAATCATTCTCACATTCTTCACTTCAGGAAATTTTCCAGAATCCTTGCTTCTCTTATACTTAATAGAAATTAATAAATAACAAATGACTTGGACAATTCTCTGCTATCTTCTCTGATACATTTGACAATGTTAAGCTTAACAACTGTTTATATTAATTCTAAATAGCGAAGTTAGGCTGGATAGAATGAGAATATAACCACTGAGCTAAAAGCTTAATGGTTATAAAAATACATTTCCGGAATCAAATGGATTATTAGAAGCCATAAGGCAATTCACGCTTTAGTTAGTCCCTGAAACGGAAATATTTCGCCTTTGAAAAAATTTTATTGGTATTTGTGAATCATTCAATCTGCTGCCATATTTCAAATTTTCTCCATATAATCTTTTCATTTATGCACAGAATTGCAAAAAACCAGCAATAAATTGCATAAATTGCTCCTTTCATTTATAAATTTAATAAAAAGTAAATCCACCAAACATCACAAGAAATAACTAATCTTAAATGATCAAATTATTGTTTGATGATTATTGTGTGTATGATTAGCGAGATTCGCATACAACAAGATTGCCATACAGAACGAGATTGTCTCCATTAAAATGAAATGTCAGCTATAAAGAAAACAGAGAAGCAATTTAATGATAGCTTTTTATATGGAATATTTAAAACTAGAGATATAAAATACAGTTTTTGTAAACTATCCGAAAGTATTTCATAAAGAAGTTTTGATAGAGAAAATTGAAGATTGAGAATAACATTAAAATGTATGTGATAGATATGAGCATTGCTTTATCATTTTTGTTTACCACTTTTAGTTAGAATAGGAAAAAATTGAAAATATTTAAATAGAAATCTGTAGACGGAAATATTTAAATAGAAATCTGTCAACAATATTATTTAATTATTTTAAATCCATTTCTATTCCAAAAACAACTTCCGTTTGGTGGCATATCTATGTCATCATGCAAGCAACATTTTCTTTTTTTTGATAATTTAAATAATATACTTGATAAAAATGTATACTTCAAATGTTAGCTAAGTTATAAAATGACAATTCATTGTCAACCATATTTTATTTAATCACATTTAAGAAAATAATTCACTATCATAATTTAATCATTAATCCAATTGTTATCACTTTACAAACATGATATTTTGTTGAACAAGTAAAAGCCATTTCTATTGCAAAAATAATTTCCAAATGATTATATAAAATTAATGCATTATCATTTTTTCACTGACTTGTATCATATTGTGTGGATTTTGACAGCTTTTAATTATATCCCTTTTCCATATAATATGATAGTATGAAAAAATACATGTTCTACTGAAGTGGAATTATGTTCTTTTTTTCATAGATTTTGATTTCGATTCAAATAGATAAAAGTGAAACGATATGAAAGGATATTTATTGCTTATATCCTCAATTTCACGAATTTGAATGAAAGTAAAGATAAGACGAAAAGTCTTTATGCGATTCATCGTTACTTGTTTCTAATTCTTCATTAGTATCTATCTTCTTGAGAATATTTAATCTTTAAGAGTACTTCTTTCGATGTTGCTCTATTCAACAACTGCACTTTGGCTGGTAGTGTCGTCTGAGAGAAGAGTAAGTTGATGACAAACAGATCGAGAAGGAATTTGGACTCGCAGAGTACCCACATATGATAATGTCATCGGTTAAGATTAAATAGATGAACTGAAGTAAGTAAAGCATATGCCAGATAATATAGTTAAAGACATGGTGAAACACAAAGTTTTATAAAGTGCAATAATGCTCAAATGGAAGCTTTTTATGTCATATTGGTTAGAATTAAAGACCAAAGGTCAAGTAGTTTTTGATCTGTTCAGTTCGTATTATTTCTCATATTATTTTCTAATATATTCTTCAACTGATAGCTTATGAGTGCTCTTTTAAATTCACGAAACAAGCATAAAATAACGCATAACTGGATTTAAAGTTATTGCTGCTACCTCGGGTACTCTTGAAGAAGTATAAGTAATATAGTAGGACCGATAGATATTGTGAGGGATAAGAAATCATTTTTCAAGCACTTAATTTGATGCATTAATAAAGACGAATGTTACACACCAATTGATAATTAGTGGAACTTCACAAATGAAAGGATGAATTGAAATATTTCAGTTTTGTTAATTACTGCTTTCTGGCATATACCCATAGTTATTCTTGCTATTATGAGAAAAGGTTTCAACATTGGTGAAATGATGCTTGAAAAGATGAAACAAATTTTAAAAGTTGGAATGATACAAAAAATGTAAAAAAAAAATAAAATTCTTTAACTTGATATTGATATCGAATATCAGTAACTGCGAAATAAATTTTGCGGTATTGAATAATCCTGTCTATATTGTTTAATAAAATATAATATGGATGCTTACTAGATATTGTTGAAAAAAATTCTTCAATTTTTGATTTGGAAATATTAGTTAATTTTGTTCTTTATTCGAGTTGATTTTATCCTTGATTAGCATTCCGATATTAAAAATTTTGTAAAACTTATTATTTTTTGGCTTTTATTTTAATAACGCTAGCTAATTTTCAACTGCAAATATATTGGCTTATTTCCGATATTTATCTCTAGACAATGTTGGAAATCTTAATTATATTTCAGTTAATATATCGTAATTCCAACTATTCTTCTTTCCTTTTATTTTTTAAATCAATTTCTACACATAATAACTGATCAGGTGATAAAATAACACTGATAGCATTTAATGATTTTCAGATTCCGATGGCAAATAAATTAAAAGGCTTCAATCTTACAATCAATTCATATTCCTGGAAATATTGAGTTTAGGATTGATCTGAACTCCTAAAATTTCGTCTCGTCTGGTGTGTTTTTAAGTTGATATTGAACTAGCTTCATTAAGAGTGATTATAATAGCTTATCCCATAGATAAATCTATTTCTTATCACATCTACTATGGAATTATTTGGAACTGTAATATTTTTTATACTATCAAGCAAGAAAGTGAGATTTTAAAATTTATTCACTTTTTAATTTTTTTTTTTTTTTTTTTTTTTTTTTTTTTTTTTTTTTTGTACTATTTTAGAATAGTACTGTTTCAGGGATATGACAATAAGAGTATGCGAATGAAGTCGAGTTATCTTCATTTCATGTATCTCCTGTAATGGAAATATGAAGCAAATATGGTAAGTTTAGAAAGGCATTCGTGATTGATATATCTTTTAACGATTTTAAAAGTGATAAAGACTGATAGGATGATACATTGGGATAGTGATAAGAGAGTCTGTGCTTTAAAGGTTGGTAGTTTAAACACCTATTTGATATGCACATCAAATTTTATTGTCTGATAAAGAATTCCATTCAAATTTATGAAAGTCTCTGATTAGACAAATGGAAATCCATATCAGTTCGAATGAAATTATCTGTTCCAATAAAGGAAGCATTGCTTGATAATGCCAAACGAGGTATTATCACTTCTGTTACATTAATAGTATGCTCCCAAAGTTTCAATTCTTTCAATACGTTCTTCGTCACATTTGTTAAGTCATTCAATATCCTGGAGAAAAAAAAAAAGAGATAATTAAATCAGTCCATTAACAACTTTAAAACCAACTCACAACTATCATTTATCGAAAAATTTAAGATTTGGCTCCTGTCATAATTCCATCCCAATGATAAAACAACAAGAGTTTTTGGCCTCAATATATACATTTGACCTCTTTTGCTATTTATTAATATCGTCAAAATGTCAGACGAACAGAATTTTTGGCTCTTAGCTAGATGATGAATCTTACCAACAAATATCAATTACTTTTTTGCTCTTTTTTTTGAATTACATTTGTCTGAAACAAATAGCCATATTTTTCTAACCTTTTCTTTCCTAAGTTTGTGATATATTTTTAATTGTTAACATGGCTTACATCTGATTCAAATTGTCAACTTTGTTTGTTGTTATCATCATTTTTTCAGTGTCTATAGTAATTCCTCGTTGTGTTATTGCCACATTTAACGAGCTTTTTGTATGAATAGCTGAAAAATTTGTTCCTTAAGAACTGAAGAAATGTCCCTCTCACTTCCCGATATTTTCCAGTGGAGCATGGTTGATGCCATCTAATGTGTAAATGCAATTGAAACTCTAAAGCCGATCTTTTTTGCACATTTCAATTGACACACTGAACAATTTGCAGAACCGTTTACGTAATATGAGAAAGGTTAAGCGTTTTTACAGGTGAAGACATCGGTAAGCTTTGATAGTAATGACAAGGAGGAGTGGGTCAAAAGGATGGAAATAGTATGCGTTCCTTTGTTATTCAGTTAACTGTTTCAAGTTCATCTTTGTGGAGTAAATTGAAATGTGAAAATAGGAACATTGATGAATGGTCAAACAGTTAGCTCTGTCAATAACTCTGTCAATACACTTAGCTCCGTCAAACTAGATTTCTTATATATATATATAGATTTCCTGCTTTATATATTGGACATAAATTTTTCTGAACAAAGTAGTCCTTTTTATCGATCAACATCACAAACTACTGAATTACTTAGATTATAAAAATGTAAAAATTTACTTAGCTCCGTCAATTTAAGACTGTCTGAATTTTTTGGCGATCGATAAAAAACGATTTTCATGCTTGTTTCTATATAAATTCCATTTTCGGCACGTAGAAGCGGTGCTTTCATCAATTGAATGTCCAGCTCAACTTTATTCAGATCATTAACTCTCCCGGTGCAGTTCCTTGTTTTTGTACAACTGCAAGTCATAAATTATTTAGAGTTGTACTTGCTAAAATGGATTTATATTTCAGAACAAAAATAATTGTTCTAAAAGAATTTAAAATATTTTTTAATAAATAACAAGCAAATAAGTGATTTCAGAAAATGGAAATGATGTATCTTGAATTATTTAATTATTGAAGTATAAGACATATTTCATTTCTTGGAGTTCAATTCATTGATACTTACTTTACATTGAACAAATCGCGGAATCGTCTAGTATCGATGTTATCTGAGATATACACATGATGGTTCACTGCTTCATACCATGTCTTTAGATAACAATTTATCATAGGCTCACCAAACCACAATACGATCATATGATTCGAAATGATTTGTCCTAGAAAATAGCGGATATTTAAGAAATGAAATGTTAATTCTGCCAAATAGTCTCTGATAGGAAATGATATTTTCTTTCACATTTTAAAAAACAACAATTAAAATAAAATGAGGGAAAAAGTAGAGACAGGAGAGAATAACAAGAGATTTTAGTAACAAGTAAGGATTGCATCCAGAATATTTGAAACAAAAGTGGCATTTTTTGTTGCATTCAAGAAACAAAAAGTGAAAAGTATGGTTGAAGTAAAAAAACTCTATAACATAAAAGAGACCCGTGAAGAACTACAATCATATTACATTCAATCTTACGAGGAGCAAACTGAGAATGCTAATTGTCGAATCTTTTATTCAATTCGCTGCTATAAAGACATAAATGTGTCGCAGTTATAAGTTGAAGCAATTTGATTTCAGATAAAATGGAGAGATGACACTTACGATTATTGTTTATTGATTTTCCTTCTGATTGTAAATAACATTTTCTTCTTCCAAAAGTTGCATAAACAGAAAAATCGAACTGAATGAAATTTTTTGTGATCTTGGGATCTTCCTGTAATTATTGACTTTTCATTGAGTGAACCTTTCCAAAAGTTTAGAAGATTACATCAGATCGGGTCCAAATTAATGATAAATCACTAATTCTAAACCTTTTGTTCTTAATAATTTTAGCCTCACAATGTTAATGAAAAAAAACTACAACAAGTTTTTGAAGGTACCAGCAGATGATAACTGAGATATACATTATCGACCACGTTGGTTTGTGCTTTTATTGACCACAAATCTTTGTTTAAATGCTCAATGTTATCTCGTACATTTTTACAAACCTGAAAGTACTGAACTGTGAGTAATTCAGCGCATCGATATTTTATACAGTAAAGCATATTCATATTCCTGAAAGTCTGGTAATATACCGAGGAAAATGAATGATAATCTAGAATCCTGATCATCAGATGGATGTGAAAGAAGGATAAGTAAGTTTGGACTTTCTCATAATTGCTTTATTCCTTTGATTTTTTCCTACTGTTACAGTTCTGAAATACCAAATGCCATAGGAAGCGGAGGTAATACCAATTGAACATTCCCGGTGTGTCGTAAAATAAAACGGTTTCAATCCTTTTATTTTATGGTTTTAACACAGAATTCTTTAAAACAATATTTGGATTTAATAGTAGTGAAATTAACTCATCTATTTTTACTGCTATTCAACAAAATTAAAATTGACCAACATCTTTTTCTATTGATCTTTTGATATCATTTTCAGCACCACTCGTGAAATAATTTGCAATCCAACTTCCTATTCCTCCATATAATTTCAAATTTAGATTTCCAATCTTCAGTTGGCATTCTTCGAAATGTAACTGAAGTTTTCCTTTCTGTGACAGCATATTTACCCGCGTCAGTGTTTTGATACCACTGATTTTAACTGATAAATCACCCGAGATATACATCTAGACAAATTCAAAATAATATTAATAAATAAAATGTCTGGCAACAGGAATATGAATGAAACAGTGTAATCAACATACTTCATTTACTATAGCGATTAAAGGAAATCATTAATTAATGCTCAAATATACATTGAGCATCATCAATAAATCTAATTATTAGTGATGACATTCCTGAAATTCATTTGGAAAAACTAAGACTGAAATTTAAAACTGAAATTTATTTGGAAAAAGTTATAACTTACAGTCCAAAGAATTCTATATGCAGCGTCCCAGGAACCACTTATTGCAACCGAGCCACCGCTGGTGCTGAATATGAGACCATTTGGAGCAACCAAAGAAATCCTAATATCAGGGCTTTCAAATGACTCCACTTTTAACTTTTTTATCTCAACTGATCCTGACCCAAACGATACGGTCTGTGAGGGTAATGCCAGCGTTTTCATTTTGTTTTGCAACTAAATTGAGCTTTAAAATATTTTAACACTAAAACACATAACAATGGAAATTTTCGAAATTATAAATGACAAAAGTTATTTGCTAAACAAGGCAGATGCTGTAACATTCTTCACACTTTTGCTTTTTTTTTTGATTTGATCTGAATGATATGTCGGGCATCAAAGATTCGCGACAGAGCCAAGAAAGTCTTTGGATATTATCTCTTTATCACTTCATATTGCTGTTTGTTTTCTAATATTATTATCTAAGAGACGTTATTAGCCGAAAGATAAAAGAGGTGAACTTTTCAAAATCTCTCCCAACATTAAGAAATCCTAAAACTCACGACATTCTTTGCAAATGAAGCTGAGAATAAGAAAGTTTTCTGGTTGAACCTTGCGCGTAGTGTAGTCTCGCTGCTACTGTAACTGATGAAAACTTGAACAAGTAATAAGAACTTCACTCTCATTATATTATTTCCTGAAGGATTTTGATATTTGTTCCATAACTTTAATGATTACATCTTATTCGAACGGTTAGTTCACGACAGCAACCATCAAAATATTGTTGGCTGAGCAAATTTGTCTCACTTACACAACATTCTAAATCTTATTTTCATGATCATCTAAGCTAATGACTCTAATTAATGACTGATAGAATTCTCGTATCGCATCCATTTTTATTTGAAACTCTTTCAATTCACTCAAATGGATAACATCTACCTTTTTACCTGCTATCTTAATATCTTCTTTTAGGAAAACCGTAGTCTTCTTCATTGCAATTTGTTTCGTCTAACTGAAGCAATCTTATCCACAAATAAAAATTGCTGATGTCGGTTTACAAAGTACCAGTATTGAAGTTAGTGGTATGTCTCATTACTTTACATACCAAAAGTAAGTGCAAAAGCAATAATAGAAACAATTCGTACTGACTGTTGAGATGAGATATACATTGAAATTCAATAATTAAAATTTAATTAAAAACGGAATAAAATAGTTTTTAGTCAACTACGCAGTACTTTTTTATTGTGTAACAAAAAAGAAAATGGTATGTACGGGTTAAAGAGATATACATTTTAATATATGATGCCAGCGTTAATGAATTCACTTCAGAAATAAATATTCAAATAGTGAGTATATAAATATAAATGACACCTGTCAAATATCACACGTTAGTTAAATAGTTATATCGGAAGAAACATTGTAGCTATCAAATTGAGAAGATGTCAAATTTCATTCCTCCTAAACTTTAAAAATTGTTTGGCAAACAAAATTCATCTAAAAAATTTTTTTCTATGATTAAGAATTGTGAAAAAAAAAAAAAAAAACAGTAACAGTGCTGCTTGTTCATCATATTTAGATGAAAAGCTTTGATTGGACCGAATTACAATTGAAGTCAATTGCTAATACCTGCTGCTGAACTTCCTGGTTCCATATTTAGAAAGCATTTTTGAAATTTTCTTCATACACTGCAACAAATAACTTAAATATGATGCCAAAAAAAGTTGAAAACTTCAAAAATGATTGAATTTAACTGAAATTACATATGTTATGGGAAAATTATCTGTTATAAATTTTATTAGACTAACGATGACCCGAACAACCGATCTTCTACAGCAAAACAAATATTTCACATACACACACACACACACACACACACACACATACATATATAGACAGGCATATTTTTAATTGAATGCACTTTCGTGATTTTCAGCATAAACTTCATCTCTGTGGTTGAATTTTATCTATAAAAGATATCCCAGTCATTTCACGATTACATGATGAGATTACTTTTTTGAGAAGTCTATGAATAATGTGATATTATGCTGGTCTTTATGAAGAATGATGCTGAATCTATTTCATTGTATTGTATAAATCGTAACTTGAAGAAACAACTTTGACAAATCCAACTGATTTCTTCCGCTTACAACGCATTATATCACCCGTAATTTTAATAGCACTAAAATTATGCGTAAAAATTAGTGCGTAAAAATTAACCGTTGATGCACTCAAATGAAATTTCTATTTGCTTCGCAAGGTTTTGTTTCTGCAATGAACTTCCTGTCCATTCAATCCTACTTAAATTCATTGACTTAGGAAATTACTTGCATCATAGGCGGACAGAGTAGATGATTACTTCCATATCAGTTCAACTTAAAAATAACCATTTATTGGAAATGATTTGTTGCAAGAATGACTGCCTTATTTCGTATTTCTTAAAGAATAAATCGATAGTGTGCAGGTGCAATTGAAAATATCACTTTTAAACTTTTCTATTAATTCTCAAATTTTTCTATTCATAGGAATTTTTGCGAGGAAAATTTTCAAACAAGAAAAAGCACTTTGAAACATTTCATATTTGCAATTCTCTTTACCAATGAAAATTAAAAAGAATAATTTATTGTATAGTTTTTGCGAAATTCAATGAATAATGCTTGCTTTCAAGTGAAGCATTTATTCTTCAATATTTAATTCTCTTCATTCCTTTCATACATCTCATAACTTTTAATTGTTTCGATGCATCCCAGAAAATATTCAAATGTCAAATGACTTTCCTTTTTATCAACATTTCATTAAAGCACAATTCTGCGAAAAAATGCATAAAAGTTTTAAATTCTATTCATAAGTGAAATCAAAATCAACACGAACGTATCCATTTCTTGTAACAATTTGGGCGTCATCCGCGATTGTCACATTATCTATGAGGGGTAGTGGTACACCAATTTTAAGTGCTGCTCCTCCAATTAATTTCACAGTTTCCGCCATTATTTTCTCTAAAAGTTTGAGCATCCTAAAACATCAAATATTAAGAGAAAAAGAGAATTGACAAGAGAATTGACTCTTAGAATTGACAAGATGCCGTTCCAGAACCTAATTTCGACAAATGTAAGGTCGGCCGAGCAATAGATCCTATTATCTATTTTCGTACGCCAAAGCATTAAAAGACTGAGAAAGAATGAGTCAAATTCTATTTTAAGGTATGAAATGATAAATAAATAAAAGTGGAAAATGAAAGAAACAAAAATAGCATTTGTTATTTTCATTGCCAACTGAGGTCGAACTAATAGAATAATGAAAAAATACTAAAACGCAGTGAAAAAAAACATCACCGAAGGATTCTAAAATTCAAATTTAAAAGCATACTGAACATTAAAGTGGCCCACAGTTGAATCTTGTTCATGCAGTACTGTTGTAACATTACTGATAATACCCACAAGTTTCCTATGCAGGATTGTTGGAACGGTGTAAGCTGTTGAGGCCATCACTGAACTGATAATGTTAATTGTAGATAATTACAGTACTTAGAGCAGTCATACTGGGTTAATTTCGTTTTTCTGCGAACATTAATAATTTTTTGTATAATTATAAAGTTCTTCTAACAACAACAACAAAAAAAAATCTCACTAAGCCTTGCTAATCTGTGCGATTGTTGCTTCTCTGATGATAAATGTAAATCTACCGTAGAACGCACGAATATTCGTATACCATTTGCATCAATGACAGTGTACGGTGTTTCAGCTAGTCGAATAAAAAAGTAAGTAGTCCGATTAGGATATTTTAGGCGTAAAGTCGGAAGAAATTTCCCGATACATATTGCAAACAGTTCACAGCTAAATTTGATTAGAATTGTAGTTATAAAAAATTTTTATTTTTTGGTACTTTGAGGTCGGCAATAGAGGTCAAATTTCTGAGAACTGCAAACTGGTTAAATTATGTTGCATTAATTTTGCTAAATTAAAATGAAAATCTTCAAGTTTTTTGATGAAATTTGATGATTTGGACTAAAAAGATGACAATGTTTTAGATAAACGAAAAATGACTCCGTTCTTAGAAAGTTTGCAAATCGACCAGCACTGGTATTCGGCGTTATAGCAAATGTCAAATTTTCATTGTCGTATACAGTCTTCAGCAAACAATTTGGTATATGTTCCGATAGCCAAATATAAGCCATTCGTCTCTTTGAACCAACATCTTAATAATATTCGTTCAATAAATAATATATGATAATCACTGGGATAAGTTTAACGAGTACTTCCCAATTATTTATTTATTCATTAGTTAAATCGACTGATTGGAGAAGTTCTGAGAGTCTACCATTCCTATCTTTTTTTGGAGAATATCCACTTATAATTTAACTTTATTTAAAGTAAATTAAGTAGATAAGATTGCTGCAAATAAACAAATTTCCGAATTGAGCTTCCCCCCAAACACTCATTATTGTTGTACACATGCACTGCTGTTGTGTTCTTGTAGTCCTCCTCACATTTAGTATACCTTTCAGCAAATTGAAATACTGCGAATGGACAAAGCAAATTTTTATTAAGGTATACCAATCGATATATTTATGATCAATTGCTCTTTCTTAGAAGACTCTTTCTACACAACAGCTTAATCTGATTTGTCGAAAATCCGAAATTTCTAAGGCACACATAATTTTTGGAAATTAAAAATAAGAACAAGCTAACCGTTATCCATTTGCTTTGTCGGTAACATACATCTGCTTTTTCCATAAGTTGCATCCAGTATCATTTCATTTTCAATGTATTTGCTCGTTACTTTAGGTTTCTGCTGAAAATTTTAAAATTATTCGAAGTCAAATTATTTGACAAAAAAAGAAGAATTTGACAGATATTTAGAATAATTTAAGGAAGATTTTAATCTATAAAAATAAGCAAAACATGACTTATCGGTGATTCTCACAGGAAATGAAATTTCTCAATCTGAAACCAATAATATTTCCTAATCCTTTCATAATCCTCCAGATTTATTTTCGTATGTGCAATTAAGCCTTTCCGTTCAAACGTGAAAATTTAAATTCGGTTTTACTTTCTGAGAAAAGGAATAAATCGACAAGAATACCTTGCATAAATAGTTAATATACAGGTTTTTGTATAGTTTAACTTGGGTAGAAAGTGCTGATAAAGCGCTATTGATATCAACAACAGTCTTGCGTATGACATCACACATCTGTTAAATGTTTATATTTATCATCAATAAACAGCTTTTCGATAGATCCAACTAAAGCACCACTTTTACGTCTCTTAGATTCATTTCATAATTCGGAACACGCTAAAAGCAGGCACTTATATATAAGAAATTTCCTAGATAAGTTCAAGCAAACAATCGTTAGCTTTGACTAGAGAGATAAGTTAGAATAGAACCCTTAGCAAGCCATGAACTCAGTAAGCATGTCACTAATAGCACGAGATTAATAGCCTTCAAAAAAAAAAAATAATTTCGAAATCCTCCCTACAAAAATGTTAAATTGTCATTGTGTAAAAACACTTTTCAAACAAATATGTATGAATCAAACTTTCTCATGTATGGTTTGCTTGATTACAAAAGCTAATTGCGCTCGAAATAAGTTGACAACCCATTGTATGACACCTCCTGTTATGTATACATAAAGGTGCTGAACATCTGTGGAACAATCAGTGATCTCAACTTGTGGATGGTCATTTCGAACTAATAAATTGGTTTGCATATAAACACGAATATCATCCATTTTCGCCTTAACATATCCCGAGAGATAAATCTGCAACAACAAATAGAATCACGAGATTACCCATTAATTTGCACGATATTTGTGATTATTGTGATCTGAGCTGTATCAAATTAGCTAAGGTTCAGAAAGTTTTCATTAATAATATCTCAAAATTAGTATCATCAACAAAGTTTGCCAGACAAGAGAACTTTGTGATGGATTGTATGAACTAACTGGAACAACAAAATAGTAGCCAGCAAGCCAGACAGCTTCCTGCTTCACCGATCCACCTTTCGATTGCCAAATGATACCATTTGGTGAAGCTAATTCAAATGAAAAGGTTGGCGATTTAAATGCTTGTAATGTGAGTTCAGTTACATTCACTTCACCAGTGCCAGGTCCGTCTTCAATCGGAATTGTTATTTGTGGAAGTGTTACTTTCCATATTTCTTCGTCAACCTATATTTGATATTCGATCAAATTCTAAATTACAATTATTGTAGACTGCCATTTTTTAGAGTTTCATCCAAATTTCAATCTCATAATATCATTAAAATTTGTCATAAACTATAATAAATAATCGATTTAGTAAGTAAAAACCGTTATCAATCATAAATGACTGTGGTGAAAATGTTACTGGGTGAAATAAGAAAGGTTAAAGGTGAATAGTAAACGTACGATATGATGTGCAATTTTGCTGAAAAATTGCAATCCTTCTTCAGCAATTCTCACTCGCACTGTAGAGAATTGTTCCGCAGCAATCACAGAGTAGTAATTAGCAGTAGTAAGAAGAGTAATGAGCAAAGCAATGTTGCAGATATATGAGGAAATGACGTAGCAAGTTGCCATGAAGACGCGCTTCCAATGCTTCAATGAACAGTGTCAAAGATAAACACTAGAGCAGAGCAAAACACCTGAAGCATCGCTGAGCGCAACTGTTTATGCGGAAGGGTAGGCTAGTGAAGATATTCGGTCCATTAGCAGTGCTGGATTTCATACTGTTCGCTCAAATTACATTATCCATTTGAACAGAATTGAATAATTAAAACTAAATTATGGAAGAAACATGTAGTGAGGCGCTATTGGTAGTTTACGTTCTTATCTTTCTGACTGACTCAAATGGATCCTTCTCTTTCCTGCTAAATATTATCAATTGTTTGCTGTTATTTCCTGATCCAATGGACTGGATGATGTCGCTGATTCACCGTAACGGCACGAGCCATTGAAAAGTCCATTGACATGTCGGTTGACAAGCATGTCATCATAGGAAATTGTTTTCCGATCAAACTATCACTTGTTTTCTAGACAACTTTTTACCTTTTTTAATTAATCGGAGGATATAGTTAGGAACAGGTAGTCAAGTGATAATGAAGTATAGATAGCATTGAAACATATAGCACATAAAGCTGTCTTATGCACCAAGTATTGTAATTATATGTACTTAGTATAATTATAAAGATCACTTAAATATTATCTTTCTTCGCTCAAAGCCTGGAAAATTACGAAAAATTTAAAGATTGTTAGAAAATCTTTGTTTCTTATGTCTAGATTTCTGAAGACAGATGGGAAATATTAGGGCGGATTACTAGATTTTTTTTGTTATGAGAAGTAATGGCCAACATTAAACCCTGAACTACTATTATGCGAATTCTTTTATTGATTATCTGTCCTACCCACATAATTTTCATTGAAGTCATACTCTGAAGATTTCTCGGAAATGCTTCTCTTGTCATGTGGAGCATATAAAAACATGGCTAAGTTTTGAAATTTCCAAAATGCATCAGTGCGACTTTTCCGATAGATTTCATTTTCTATTTTTATTGTTTGGCAGAAAATACGATAGGAGAACAGATCTGTGTGCTTTCCATCTTTGCTGTTATGAAGTACCAATTAAAAGAATCAGCTCAACAGATGCCTCTCTTACGACTTATGACTTTGTTCGGGTTAATCTAGTCTTAGAGGAATCAAACGTTACTTCCTACAACTTCCATTTGATTTACAAAGAAGATATAGAAACGAGTCTTAAATTTCAAAACTGAGCTTACAATTTTCAATTTTAAATGCGATAGACCAAGAATAGGCTTTCATTTCTAAAGATTACTTGTTAAAATGAAGAAATATTAACTGAATGACAAGCAATTAGTCACTAATTTTTAATATCTTTGCCTAATAGTTATGACGGTCGAGAGATTATACAGAGTAAGTCAAGCAAATACTACTGAAACTTGGATGACTTTGAAATGAACGCATATTATAAATTGTCTTATGATACAAAGATATTTACTTGAAGAGTCTTCCTCACAAAAAAAAAAAAAAAAAAACGTTCTCAGGACACTCAACAAGGAACCAATGTCTTTGTTCTAATAATATTCATTTCAGTGATGAATACCCACGACCAACCCATCAGTTGGGCATTTCTCACCACAACCGCCACTTTATGGAGTGCTGTCAATTCAAGCGGTTTACTACCCGATACGTTGGTCTTTTAGTATAACAAATAATTCAAAACCTATGATGGACCAGAAATTAACTAGCATATCCAATCAATCTGATGCTTTCCTAAATAAAACTGTGATTTCTTGCTCTTTCTCATGTCCAAACCATACAACTTCGGATTAGATAGATATTTGTAAGCTCAACATACTTCGGCTGTAGGTGTAATTTATGTTTTTTCAAAACACTGTGCATAAGGAACTCAACATAAGTCCAATAAAAAACACAGGTAGGTAACTTTTGCAATGCTCCCAAGCGCTACGGTAACTAGTCTGCTCTTGAATTGGCATAATATTCTTTACGGGAAAATAATTCGATTTTATACAAAACGCATAGCACCCAGACCAAATGCCTCATTTCATCGACATGAACAATTCTTTTACAGTTCTAAAACAACACGACTACTCGAAATTCTGCTAATGTCCATTTCCTATTTCACCTAACCAAGGCAAACCTATCGACATTAAATAAATTAATCAATTCAAAATAAATGAGAATCTGTAGCCCAGAAAAATATCACGTGAACTTTGAAGAAACCTCTGGGCACGAGAATTCTTAGTTATCCTTAGCCGAAAACTTTTGGATATTTCGGCTGTAACACATCGATGATAGTATATTTCTTATGCAAGCAATAAAGAAAATGACGAAAGTGAAGTGACACGTTGGCATAACAAAGTGAAACAAATAGTCGCAATTATAGCATTGAATTCTAAATATATGGCACAAAATAAAAGCATTTTACACTTGTGTTTCCAGTAAAATTTGACAGTTCCGTTTAAATGGTTAAAAGCACAAAATGTAGAATGTAGGAGGAAAACATCATTCCAATTCGAAAATAACTAGGAAATGCGTTGCTGAATATTAGTAACCCGAAATCCATCAAATTTGCTGCTTGCCTTTATTTCTTAGAAATATTTTATGTGAAATTCTAAACAAAAGGTGAAAATTAAATGCAGACCCTAATTAAAATTTTTTTTTTATTGGTAAGATTCTTTAGCCCTTACACTTCAGGAAATAACGTTTTAATCAACTTCACTGTGAAAGCAGAGTTGCTAGTGTTATAGCATTGTAATGATGGATGACGCGATTGGATTTAAAACTAAACGCTGAAGAACTGATCAAATTAATAAATCATACAGGAAATTTAAAAATTTGAAGAATCAAAAAGCAGTCAAGGATAACTCTCTGAACTCTACAATGAACAGTAAGAATATTTAAACATATTCAGGACCAAAGATTATCAATATACTGAAGATGAGTGCTTTTGTTTTGTGGGAAGATCGTGGTTATGCATTGTTCAGAAAGTTATAAATAAAGGTTAGTAGTCGTTAACTACTACTAGTAGCATTATATATGGTATTAGGACGAGGGACACGACAAATCGTAGTCCCTCTCATAAACACTGCTTCATCAGGTACCGCTGCAATAAGCGTTATTCGTTGTTTCTGATCGTTTATACGATTTCGACGAGTCGATCGAAGATATTTCTGATAATCAAATCCACTCGTAGTTTGCTGTTGAGATTGCTGAAGCGAATCACTATTTGGAGATTGGACAGTCATAGTTCGAGCTCGTAGTGGTTGTTGTTTAGGAGGTGATTGATGAGATGGTCCGTAATGAATTTTGATGTATTTGACTGGTTTCGGGACATTAAGCACATTTGCATCTTTGCAAATTTTTGCTGGTGATTCCAGCAATGTTTGCAAGTAAGTTGGAGACGAAAAAGTAGCTTCTTCATCAAAAGTATAAGGCAAATGCGATGCGGAAGGATGAGGTGATCGGATGAAACTGTCAGGGAAGCCCGGGGTTTGCTTTTCCTGAGATTGGTAGGGACACAGCAGCACTGGTTCTCGAGTGGAAGAATTCTGCGTCGACTGCTGTTGTTTGTTTTGGTAGGAGTGCTTATTAGTGAACATAGATGTTTGAGATTTCAGAGAATTTCTTGATTCAGCTAATGCACATTCTTTGGGCGGCCGAGTGAAAACTGATTGAGTACGATTTCGCAAACTCGAAGGGGCTTTTGCTTGTGAATCATTAGTTCGATATCCAGACATCCGTGTAGAAGGAGCAAAAAAGAAATTTCTAGAAGTCGGAAATACGGCCGGAATGGAGGTCATAGCCGGTTGCGTAGTAGGGACCAGTCCTTTCGATACTCTGTTTCGTTCGCATTCCTGATGAGGAAAACTGAATTGGACATGATCGGAATCTATAAAGAATCACTCCATTTTCTGTTTCACTTATGCGCTCATTCAGAAAAACTTGGGTTTAGTTTCCAAATCTAGTCAGCAATCTACAACAATAGCAAATAATGTTTGAATCAATTCCATTGAAATGAAGCTATATTACACTGAACTATAGGATAATTGAAGTTAAAATAAAATTGTAATTCATACATATCTTTATCAAGGCGTTAATCGAAATCATAAGCTCCAAACCCTCCCACAACTTCAGTGTCGTCATTGCCAAACACTTCAAAGTAAAAAAGTGGATTTTACTGGATTTAATACTAAGCTAATAAACCTTTGATGGTGAATTTGTTGTACTGCTGCTCTGCTCGATGACACTGTTTCTGCTGCTGCGGAAAAGTAAGTGTGCTGGGATGGATATCCACTTCTTCCTCTTGTAATGATAGGTATATTTCTGCATGCGGTAGCTGAACTGTACGCAAACCAAGCGTTGAAGGCGTCGTAATAGTCTGTGCTGTATCCCGTGTAATAGGCCACACGTTGTTGCTGCTGCTCGCGTCGTCTTTCATAACAACATTGCGGATGGTTTGCATATTGCTGCCGCTGCTGTTGGCGGAGGTGCGCATATAACTCATCACCACATCCACTGAAAAGAAGGAAAAACAACCTTAAGCTTATTTTTTATCTCATGCTGAAGTTGTTCTCCATGTTATATTTCTTTAAATTATGCTCAGTCTTAAATTCAGCTTTAGAATTATTCTCATCGAACATACTTCCTTGTTTGGCGATTGACGGATGAATTCCTTCCTTTTCCGCAATTGTATTCGTTGTTGCGAACTGCTGTCTGATATTGTCCTCTCCATTCCAGCACACCTTTTCCCTAAAAATAATGAATCTGACAATCAAAATTCTTTCCGGATTTTTATAAAGTAAAAACAGAGTTTTGAGAAATGTCACAAAACATGCACGGTCAATACATTCTTAAATAAAAGCAATTTTTCTTTTTTTGGTTTGAAAGTATGGCAAAAATTTTCAAAGGACTTTTTTAAAGCAAAGATTATTTAAATCTATAGCGCCCTTTGGAAATATCTTGAATTAAGTGAAATATTGTAGAGTCCTATTTACCAAACAACATCTATGCAATGACGCATGAACAAACATTTTTAAAATGTTTCATGCAAAAAAGGGATAAACTTTCGTCATGCAAGGTAGGTGTAAATCACGTATTCTGTAGTGTGTAAAGCTTGAAGCGCAATAGAAAGCTGACTATAAAACACGCTTACTATAATTCAAAACTCACAAAATAAGAGGAGGGAAAATCAACTCTTTCTCATGGAATTCAACAGTACGGAGAATTAAAACTATGGTTTTACCTATTATTATGATTAAATCATCATTTTAAGAACAGTACAAAAAACTTTCAAGAGAAGCGGTGGTAGCAATAAACAAGAGGGGTGCCTGAAGCATGTAGGAAAGAACCTTACAGAAGACTAGCTTAAGCTTGTAAGTTACCCGCCCACCTCTCAACAAAGCTATTGTAGAACTTTGAATTTGCAACCCGTATATAGCCACCAGCGGGTAATTCCTTTCCGCTGCAAACAGTTTCTGTTTTATGCGTTCCAAGCACTTCCTAAATTTGAGACTTGTTGGTGCTCATTTAAAAGATTCTCAGTTAATTGTTGTTCTCGCAAATTGCTTGCTTGGTGTATTCATTGTCGCAACAACGTGTTAATGGATTTCTTCAAGAAATTATTAGACAATCTATATGGTTTAGGTAAGGAAACTCTACAGTAAGCTACAAAATTTTCAAACAATAAAAATCTTAAAAACGTGGAAACTTAATACATTCTAATTCAGTTATAACTGTGTCCCCATGCTAATCGCCTACAGTATTTTGCGATCATCCTATTGTCAGAAAAGAAAAGGCAAACGAGATTTACATTCACATAGCAAGTAGGATCTGTTGACTGCAAAATGTCATAGGATGATGGTTTGTACGGTGGTGGTGCTTTGCGTATTGACTGATTACTTCTGCTTTCTTTACTCCATTCTCGATCATCTTGTGTCCTAAAAATGACTGAAGAATGAGGACAGGACTTCGCAGGTACTCCAAATAATGCTAAAACTTTAGACTAGCTTAAGCTATTACATTTATCAATTCGTTCAAAATACAACTTTTATTCATTATAAGTTTTCTAAATATAACTGTGTTTAATTAAAAAATTCATTAACTTCACAAACCTATTTGATTTATCTCTGGAAGACTTGCTTTCAGCAATGTCGAATGATACCGCTTTTTCTGGAGATGTATCACGCGATCTCGAACCACCGAATCGCTGAGTAATCTTTGAAAATATGCTACTACAAATAAAAAAATAGAATATCTGTAAACTACTCAATTAAAATCGGTGCTTACTTCTAATTTCATGACCCACCATTCGCCTAAACGAATACTGATAAATGTGAAAAGTAAATAAGCGTCAAATAACAATATAACAAATTGAAGATTATGATTTCTACTTGGAAAACACATGTTAGATGCAACTCACCCTCCAACTGATTTCCTTCGCTGCTGTTTTTCCTTAGAAGTAGCAGAAATTTCTCGGGGTAACGATGCATAAGACTCATCCCGACCTTTTCCTAAAAATACCACATTATATTAAGAAATAAATTCGTTAAGATTAAAAGAAATAGAGAAAATGGGGTAACATATAAAATTAGTAAAATTACCTGCAGATGTTTGATCTTCCGCATCAGAAATAGATGGCTTGATATAGCCATTACATCGAGATTTTTGTGATCGCTTGAGAGTACTCGGATGGCCTCGTTTTGCAGTTTGCTCTATTCGAGTATCTCGAATGGCTGGTCCATTAGAATGACTGTAAATGAAGGACTTTCTTTTCTGTGGTGGAAATGGATGAAAGTCAAAAATAAACGTTTAGAAATGGATGATGACATAGAAAAATATAACTTACGCTGATACAATTGCCAGCGCTGGTGATTGGTGCGTATCCATACTTTCTAGGCTTAATGAACGACGATTAGGAGATGCTGGAATAAGTATTGGTAAAGATTAATAAAAATTATAACTATTCCACAAGTCAGGGCAATCTAATATTCCGACGTCAAAAAAGCACGGTTAGCGCTATTGCAAGTTAGGAAAAATCAAGAGTAAATGTTATTGAAACTAAAGCACACACTATATTGTTGATAGTAAATTACGATGAGAAACACAAGCTAAAGGTGAAAAAAAAAATCCTTAAGCGGTGGATAGCCTCAAGCTAAATTTCTGTATAAATCCATAATTTTTCAGCTTAATTCAAATTCACAATGGAAAATAAAACATGATTTATAAAAGTTTTATCATGAAAATTGATCAGCAATTAGTTACAAATTATGCTTACATGACGAAGAAGCCACATTTGTGCTCTCATTATTAGTGCTGCTGACGTAACTAGCAGATATGGGAATACGTTGTTCACGCTTTTCTATAGACCTTCCACTGACAGTTTTTTCTTCAGACGACTGAAGTGATACTAAGCTCCTTCGACGGCATTTTTCTCGAAGTGATACGGCACTCCGTGAAGAAAACATTGCAAGTGACTTGTGTGTTGGACTAATAAATGGAACGAAACGATGCAAGAGAGGAGCTGAAGCGTTAATTTATGCCACAGAAGCATCAAACAAATATTAAAAAATAAATAAATAATAATGAAGCAACAAGCGAATTACAAAGAAGAAAAATAAACCTTCAAACCGCATTTTTCTCATTAAAACGAAATCACACTGTCATCGTGTTATAAAGGAAATATTGCGAAGCTTTTTCAAACGAATAATAGTGCTTAATTTTCTACAGAAAATCAAACTGAATATTAGATGACTCTAAATAAGCGCACTACAGTCATGCATACTGAGCTTTTTCAGAAATAATTATAATTAAGAAATACTTACCACTCATTTGACGGTTATGTTTGATTTTTTGGAAAAGCATTGTGCTGTTCGCATCCATTCCAACTCCCATATGCCGCTTTTCCGATATCGATCTGGAAAAGTAAGTTTTTGATGTGAAAAAACTGGAAAAGTTAGTCTCAGAATTATTAGGAAGGTATTAGAAAGATATGTTTATTATCCATTTCGGCAGCATTTCTTGAAATTTTGATTTCAGATACAATTTATCAAAAGTCTGCGCTTCTACAGACAATCGAAAATATACCTTTTTTTTCCACAGAAACTTTTAATAACAAACGTCTACCTTCTGGCAGGATTTTCCCGATTAAAACCACTACCACCAGTACGACTTATTTCATCTTCTGATAGGTATTTCTGCCTATCGCTTGCGGTGGAATCAAAATCTCCATTTGCATTTCTAAAAATGTTTGCAGATGACATCAGAAATGAAATAAAAAAGTAATTGCTAAAAAGAAGTTTCTAACTTTTAGTAATTTTCGAACTTTCAGTTTAGAATATTTCAAACAGTCTACTCTAACGTCTATCCTAGTACTGATGATTCCAAGAAATAATCATAATCAAACTGTGTACATCAATAATGCATCATAATTTGACAATGAAATAAGGGACAGAACATAAAATAACAGTAATTATTTTATAACTTATGACAAATAATCGGAGTATCAGTGTAGCCATACTAAGAAAGCCAATGATAATGAAATAAATATATAAACAAAAAGATTACAAAGGACGATCGTCCGAACTACTAAATCTTGGTACGTCTGCATTATAACCATTTGGCGTTTCTTGTTTCTTTGCAGTCGCATTATCATCATCTATATAAGCGATACATTTATGCATATATTAAAACTATACATTATCAGTAGAGCCTAACCAAAACTGGATTTAAACGCATGCATTTACAACAAAATTGATATTCTGCATGGTGGTACTTGCATATATCTGAAATGTGCTTCGCCACTCACAGATGAATTACATTAAACGTTTGCAGAATTCAATATCCCATTATCTATGCATGACCATGCTTCTATATTAAATATATACATTAATTAAAATTACCTGCAGACTTTGTTTGAGACCTATCATAAATTTTCGAACTCTCACAATTTGGAGTCCAAGATTCGTCTGTCGAACTTCTTACACTTGGAAAAGCATTGCTGTGGTTTAGCTCAACCTTTCTTGCTACTCGTAAGCATACATCATTTGCGTTCGGTCCTAAAATACAGAGACAGGACTTTGATGAAAGAAATAACATTTTGAATATCTTCTCTGCAATACTACCAATCTATTTAAATTGTATAAATCAATTCAACGTATTTACCTAGGTTTTTCAAACATCTAGTGATAGCATCACTAGCCTCTGAATTCCTTGTCATTCGTCTCAAATCAGTATCTTCGATTCCAATCAACTGATCATTCAATCGTAATCTTCCATCTTTATAAGCAGCACCACCATGCAAGACCTGCGGCAGTTGTACAGTTAAATGTGATTTTTCAAAAATTTAGTTACTGGAACGAAGGTACCTGAATTTACAATGCAGTATTCAAAAAGCATTACTGAAACCAATGAAGGTACCAATTCCAGCTTAGTAAACATCCAGAAGATAATAAATTTTACAAGCACCTTTTTGATAAATATTCCACAATCATGACGTGTACCATCAGGCTTCATAACGGCTCTTGCTTTTAAACTTACACCTAATCCAGCACTTCCCGTTTCATTTAAGGCAATCTTCAACGTCAAAATCTCCTCCCTGCAATTTTTACTTCATTTCTCATTGTAAAATATGAGTCATGTCCTAAATTGTCTTACTATATTCGTGAATACAACAGTCAATATGTAGAAGATCCCCAGTTATCTGAATACCCTTAGCGTTTCGCTCATAATGGAGAATAATCTGATGGTTGTAATTCAAGATCATTGCACTTTGTGAAATCCCCTATCCCCTAAGCAATTTATCAACCGACATTTTTACCCCTTCTACCCTAAACTATAGTCAATGCAACAAAATGAAATGCACAGCTTAACATCTTATTTACATTAAAAGAATCATCTGAATAAAAATTGCTAATTAAGTGCACCCGTATCGTTCCGTTCCTTCACTCGCTCTTTCCTGGTGATAATGTTCACTATCACTGTTATAATTATTTGTTACTACCAATGGATTCTGGTTTTCGTTTTCCTGACTTCCAATTCGAGAAACTAGTAAGTTTATTGAATCACCAACATCCAGTTTTTTGAGACGCTTGACCATATCACTTTGGGTAAACTCAGCTGTTTTTCTACCATTAATCTAAAAAATCGAACAGAACGTAAATGTATAACCATTTCCATAAGAAAAAAAAAAAATATTACCTGTAACAACCGATCGCCAGCTCTTAATTTATTTACCGCAGCACCACCTGCTTTCACAGTTCCAATATAAAACAGTCGTTCACCTTTAGCAGTTTCACGACTTGTTACGGTAAAACCAAACCCGCCTCTTCCTGAGATACACTGTATCAGTTATCATACAAAATTAGACAATTTAGTAAACATTGCTTCTTTTCGTTTTTTATTTACAACTTACACAGTCTTCAATACAACATTGCAATATTTTGAGAGACTGGCACCTCTTTAACTATTTATGGAGATGAACAAATTGTAAAATGATAAACTGGATGACATACTTTTAACAATTTCAACTGGAAATGTTATCCCAAGAGCTGTTGTATTGGCTTGCTGCAGTGCAGAGAGAATTGGCCGCTTTTGCAAACTGCTCGTTGATGACTGACTATGATGAGAGATCGCTGGAAATCAAGAAAAAATGTAACTTTTTTTTTTTATTTTTTGCAAGATATTAGTATTAGGATTATCAATATAATAATTTTCACGTCACTAAAATACAAAGCATAAGGAATTCATCAGAACTGCCTAAATATTAAGTCCATTGTAATTTTGTAATTCAGTTTCACGTCTGATAATATTGGTAATAGCATACCGACTCCACAGAACGCTCACAGTTCCTGGCATTTATCCATTTTCATTTACCTACTCTGCTATTCACAGTTCAAAATAATAAATGAACAAAGTAACTGACGGCACTAAGATGTCTAAGGCTTTTAGTACGATGCTTCTAATACTAAGATACAAACTTCTTAAGACACAGACGTACGTCAAAAAGGTATACTAATGCGAAGCAAACAAACAGACATTGTACAGTTGTCTTTAAAAGACAAAAAAAGCACTGCCCATTACTGTTTTAGTAATACATTAGTTCGCTGTTGTGCTGCAGATTATTTAAATTACGACGGGATTTCCTGTCGTAGTTAATGAAAAATATATTTTACTGAAAATCTATGAACAATGGAAAATTTAAGAACATACTATCGCTTGCAAATGTCTCTATGGAGCGATCGATTGTCAAACTTGGATGAGCAATTGCTTGTATTTCGTGTAAATAGGCACGTGCTCTTGAGATCGACATCTGCAAAGTGAAACTGCACAACCTTCTCCGTTTACTGATGTAATTTTAACCATTTTAAACAATGAACAAGGAAATAATCATGAGTTATTCCTGCATAAAAATCTTGATTTTGTCATCTTCCAAAGTTAGATATGAATTGGGAATGCAAAACAGTAAATTTGTTGAACGGTGCTACACCATTTTTGGTTATTAACCTGATAAACAGGACGCTGATTGATTTCCACAATACGATCACCAATTCGAAGACGCCCATCGCTGCTCACCCGACCTTCATCGTCAATTTGCCTAATCTCTACAGCTTGTAAACGCATATCATTTGATGGATCATATACAGGTGAAATCTGAAGAAAAAAAAACAAGATCAAATAAAGTTAGAGGGAAGAACAAGGTGACCATCTTATAAGTTTTCATTATTGATCACTTCTCTATTACTGTTCGAAAGGATCGATTGAAAATCTGAATCAGAAACATAACTCTTTTGATCTATTTTCTCAGTAATTAATTTCTCCCAACTCGCAAATCCCATTCAAGTATTACAAAAAAAAAAAAAAAATGAGTTGATTGATCAAGACGACACAATAAGTGGCTCCTGAATATGACTGTTGTCAAAAGAAGAGACATACCTCAATACCCAACTTCATATTGATAGTACTGTCTGAAAGTATTATCACCGTTTGTCCTCGATTTGCTGCCTCCATCAGTGGTATTAATTTTGGACTTTTCATGTCACCTTTTACTACACGACTGTTGATACCATCTGCTAATTTTTCTTCCAATCGTTCTTTGGCATCGAAAAAATTATCGGTTAGACGTGATTTCCTAGCGGATGTTCGTGTCATCAGTGATTCTTTTGTAAAAATTGGCGATTCTTGAGATGGTTGACAATCAACATCTGGAAATAAGAGACTTTATGCAATATGTAAATACGACTGAAGACATTATCTTGAAGATATATTTGCAGTTTAGTTTAATTAGTTGAGCCTAGTTTAGACAGATCATTGAGTAAGATAACACTAACAATGAGCAAATTCAAAGCAGATTCCCAGTGGATAATGAAAAGCGAATGAGAATGAAGATCAATTTCTATCTTTCCCGTTTATTTTGTGGTTGAGTACAAATCACAATAACAAAAGAAGGAAAATTAAACAAATTTCAACTTTTGGAGGATATGACTAACTTAAACTCCTTTATTCCTTGTCAGCTATTCAATAAGATATAAGGAATGAAATGAATCACAAAAGAAACTAGAAACCTGGAGATATAGTAACTCGATATTTACTTCTCGGTGACCCGCTATTTTTTAGGGCGGAATGATAAACACGACACGTGTTCGACATATCATTGTGTTTCTGATCGAACTGTGTCGATGGAAGGCATTGCGAAGAAACAGATTCAGGACTCGTTATAACTGAGGATGAGGATGGCTTCTGTTGCAATGTGTGGGCATTGTCCGAAATCACTCGTAAACCATCAGCTAAATTAATTATTTCACGTTGCTTTATTCAACTCATATTAGCGCTAATTATGTAAATCAGATATAATAAATAGATTATTGCCTATACTGCCCTTTGCAAAAGTCTACCACCTACATCAGAATAAAACTATTTTTAAACTACTCAAATCCTTAAAGTCACTGCTTCTATAATGAAAAGTTCGCACTTTCAAAATAATAGAATAAAGTTTCAGTCATGACAAAACAAACTCGGCGGTATAGCAATGCTCGTTATTTCAACAATGTCACCATCGCTGGAACTTGAAATGATGTTCAATTTACCATCCAGGGGACTCTCTGCTGATGCGACAGTTTTTGCAGTTGCTAACGAAGACGTTAACGAAATTGTTCCATTGGTGGCAAACCGAGAAGCATTTGTTGAAGCCGAATCCACTACAGCAAAGCTCGGTTCGTCATAAATCGCTAAGATCTAAAACTGATATTAAATTCATACCAGAAGACACTGGCTTGATTAGAACTCTTGGAAAATTATTTGAAAAAGTTGGACTATTAAATTATTACAAGCACAAGAGTCTTCTGAACAAACAATTCACTGTATTTATATCTACCTGATTTACAGATTAAGATAGTGTGCATCTAATTCATTATGAACTATCACAGTAATATCCAAAGACTGAAACTTTCTATGATTTTCACTAACCTGATCATTATTCTCATCAAAAACGTCAAAAAGCTGATCATCGGGATCCAGAATGCCACCATCTCGTAAGCATTCAACATGATGAACAAATACATAATGTTGTGATGGCTATAAATTCTGGCACGCTAATGCAAATAGTAAAATGGACAAGGAAAAGTCAGATATTCCATTCCAATTCATTTCAAGTAATTATGACGAAATCTGACCGTCACTTGTCCAAATTTAAATTAAAACCTAATTAAAATTCACTTACTGTAACATAATTTGCATTCTGTTGGCAGTGTACGATGCCGGTGGAACCAACGGTAGTAGCATTATCTGTTGTTGTGGACATCATATGATACATGAGACGATGATGATGAAGGAATAAGGGAGAGAATTCCCCTTACCCTTCTTTTCTTCGAAACCGATCTTTCAGTAAGTCTGTTTTTGTTGAAAATATATTAGGAAGGAAGAGAAGAACAATAAGCAAATCATCATCATTCTTTCACAGTTGGATCCATATCATTCCTGTGGTATGAGAATTATAATGATGCCAGCAGAATGATAGCAGAGATAGCGCTTGCCAAGTAAACATTAATGTAAACTGACAATTAAGTATACAGCATCAATGCTTATTTGTCATCATTCCTAATATCAACAATTTAGAAAGTAAAACGGGATTGATCATTACAGCATTTTGTGATAACCGAAAACCGAAATACAACCGGAATAGGGAAGGCTAATTCTGCTATGCAACAGAGCAACAATTATGCATTCACTTAATAAATCACTAATATAGTAGTATCACATCTCATACAACGATTGTTCAATGAAGAGATGAAATTTCGAAAAACTAAATATATATGTGTGTTACGCAACAACATTATGTGTTATCTTTAGTGCTAACTAACTCTGTTATTTCCTCATTTAATGAGGCATTCCTATTACTGACACTAAAATGAACACTTCGCATCTTTCCCTTCACCTCACGTCATCTAATTCCAGTTCTAATTTGCAAAAGTTAATAACACGTCGATCAAATTAACGTTGTTTTTTCTTTTGTCATGAAATTAATTTGAAGTGCCATGAAATGAGTTGTGAGACGAACATACAGCAATTATCATCTAGCAAAGCTGTCACATCAAATAGAAGGGATCACTGCAGTGAACTGGCAATATCATTTAATCATGAAATTTAAATTATTAACTCATTTGATGAAATTCACACTGGTGACTGTATTCATCTATTCCTGTGATTATGTCTGAGAAAGACCTATTGCCAAAAGTATGACACTGAGTGATCCGAGCGAGACAGGTTGGCAATGGTTAATAAGAGGAAAATATTTTCAACTAAACTTTGTGTGAGAGATTTGTGGGATTTTGTATGGCAGATTCGAGCGACCCAAACAATGAATACAGTCGTAAAAACCACGGAGAGGTCGCTCTGCTTATGACAATATACAAGTATTCAAACAGGGACTAGCGAGAAGCTTAGAGAAGATGAAACCCTGCTCTTGCTACTGCTACTGTAGGTACCAAATAAAAACAGGCGACCTCTGGCAAAGATGGAGCGATAAATGAAATCTCGAGAAAACATACTCTCATCTACCGTTACCAATCAATCGATCGCGTCACTTTCCATGCTTAGTAACCTGTGACGCGGTGATGATCGATACCATACTGAGGGGACATCACAGAGAAGATTCCCACCCCTTCAATCACCCACCTGCATCACTACAACACACACACACACACACACACATTCACATAGATGCAGCTACCTGCATACACACATTCATCCACATGCGCATATATACATGCGTATCGGCTCATCCTCCTACCTGTAATTCATTATTATACAGAGAAATGCCTGTGATATCTTGCTAATTGTTTGAGATAGCATGAAAAAGTCTCTCCTCCAGTCCCTTCCACACTTCTCTTGCCGCTCGGCGCTCGGGTCATAGGCAGTTAAACGTTTATATTAATTGTTGCTGACACTGTTCTGTAGAGCATACCTAACACCAACACATACACACAAAGGTCAAATGTGAACTGTTGCTATAGGAACTGAGGAAATGACTGGACAAACTGCATGACACAGATGACCTCGGAAGTATTTGAACTTTGTTGTTCATTCTATTCATTAAATTAATGCATCACTTTTCTTGCTTTCCCAATAATAAATAAGAATCACGCTGTTATTACAAAATATGTGAGTTCTTTGACCTTTTATTATCACCTTGTTAGTAAGCAGTTTTTCTTTACTTATTACACTAATTCCTAGCTAAAAGGTTATATAATTAAAGTAGAAATAAATGATAAAGGATTATCAAAATTATCATACAGCGCCGATATGAATTGTTTTCGGAAGAAATATGTTTCACTTTCTTGACAACTTTCATACAATATTTTTTTCGGTATAGTGAAAATTAGTAATATGTTTCAGTAGAAAGGAACAGCAGAAAGTGGAGAATGATTTTAAGAATGAGAAATGATAAAAAGTATATACTCGCAATATATCTAGGATTATTAAAATTTGTAAACAATGAGAAAAAATAATGCATTCAACGTACACTGCCATTTGCAAACTATGACATTTCATAGAAATTTAAATATAATTAACAATTTGAGAAATGATTATAGTTTCGACTTATTTCACATCTATTTTATCAATTTAATTATAAGAAATTGTGAAAATTTTTACAAAATTCGGTCAGAAATTTGTACGTGCAATTCTTCGAAAACATATGCACTTAATTAGTAAGATTAAACTTAAAAAACTTACTCGTCCGGTGGCTTTTTTGTATCGTAAAACAGATGCTTTAATGAGATCATTAACAGTCATATAATCATAACATGGTACCACCACTCCCACCTTACCAAAGCGTACTGTCACTTTTGCTTTCATTTCTTCTGTTCAATATCCTTTAAAAAAAAGCATGCATTATTCACTTCAATATTTTTATTTTTCATGATGACATTTCACGACTAAACTTTAGAAATGAAAGCATAGAATAAAAAAAACATAAATAAAATGAATAATAATTAAGAGATGAAGATGTCTTCATCCCATTAATACACACACTACAATAAAATATCACTCAAAATATATAAAGGAACTAATTTTATAAAGTTTGGTTGTTTAGTTCTTAATGTCTAACACAGTCGAAAAGTTCTTCTTTTCAACCAAAGTTACTTTTGTTGAAAAAGAAAAGGAGTGGTAACTTTGTAAGTAATCCTTCTAATTATTATTTGTATGTTGTTCATCCTCTAATTATTTGTATGTTGTTTCAAATAATTATTATTACTTTCAAAATTGAAATAAGGCCGGTAATGAATGAGCTGTGAATGAGAAAGATATGATATTCAATGAATTAAAGAAATCTGAAATGTAAACATTTGGCACTTTTGACTTTTTAAAAATATTGCTGAATAGAAATTTTTGATTTCCTAAGGTTAACAAGATATTTTAAAGCATCCTTCTATAAAAATTTCTAAAAATTAAAAAATCCGACTTTTTTTTAGCGTTTTATTTCCAAGTTTTCTCAAAGGAGATATACTAAAAGATTTTCGACAGGAAATTTTGGATAAAATGTCGGTATTCGTCTTATTTGTAATTACCAAATTTTTAGATATAAATTTCAAAACTGTTGTAACAAGTTTTGAAAATTTAAGGGTAAACCGTCACAACAGTTTTGAAAAAAGAATAAGAACTGAGACAAGAAATTCTATTTTTTTTAAAGAAAACTTTTTCGGAATCTTAAAAAATTTCAAGACTAATTTTACGTTTGAGGTACGAACCGTTGCAACACATTTTTCATTAAAAGAAAAAAACAAAAGTGAAATTATTGATTGGTTTTTGTAGATTTGAGTGGAAGAGGAATTTTAGGATAAAGATGAAAAGAAAAGGAACATAAATTTAGAATAATTTTCTCTTGATTTTGTTCATATTTTTAATCAAAGATTATTTCGCTCTTGTTTTTCGAAATAAGGAGAAGGAAAAGTTTACAATTAAAAGATTAGTTAAATTTCCAGATCTCATAATTGGAGCTATCCGGAATCAGTTGCTATAAAATCTAATCTGAATGTGTCTGACTGGCTAGCGAACTTAATCGCAAAGAGAGCATTTTTTATATAGTTTTTATCCTTTGACATAACTCTTAACCGATAGATACCCAAAATGCATTGCCCGCTTTTAATATATCATTCGAGCAAATCCTTTCGCATTTATTTTAAAAAAAAAAAAAAAAAGTGGTTGAACCACTATATGCTTCATTTACCTCAGAAATCTAAGGAATGGTTCTAGTAATGCTACCTGAATGCCAACTTATAAGAAGTCAAGCTGAATTCTTTCCAGCGGAAGTTGCTGTAGGACTGAGTGCTGTTTATGACAAAGCATTAAATTTCGATATTGCCGTATTAATAATATACTATTCTCCATGTTTGTTATGCTCGAGATAGCATAGATTTAAATTTTATATTAAATTACATTATTCTCAATGAAATTCTCAACATACTGCCTTCGTCGAATTGATTAGCAGTATGTAATGAGCAGCATCACCCAATTGATACATTTTTTAATTCCAGAATTTCAAATTTCATTCGTACAGGCATTTATTTTACATCTCACTGTGGGTAACAAGAAAATGGTGATTAACAGTTAGAGGAAAAATTTGATGATGAAGAGACAGGGAATGAGATGAAAGAAAGAAAGATCTAGACGATTAATACCGGTGAATCATTAAATGAATAATATTTTATAACAGAGAAATACCATAGGTGGTAATGACCCTTCTTATTAGGGTATCGTGAAGAGATGTAAACTGATATTGCTATATGTTATCTCCTCCTGCACTGATTTCAAATTATCGCTTTTCACAGATTCTCTTCTCTTAACTTTTGAAAATACTTAAAGCATTTTGAAACTGAGTTTTAAAATAGAAATTTTTTCTAAAAAACTTAAAACTATTTTAGCATTGTTTATGGAACGATATATGCAGCTTTGCTCTCTTTATAGCGAATGTATTTGCCAATGGAAATATTTTTGAACAGATTAAGGAAAATTTAAGAATGTTAACCTTTGAAATAGGTATTTAAAGTGAATTAGAGAGTAAAAAAATGTTTATGTAAGGTAAAAATTTAAATAATAAGAAGTGTTTAAGGGTTGATTAGATACATTTCTGAAACTGCCATGAATAAGAATGATAACTGTAAGGCATGGTGAAGAAATGCGAAAGATTAGCAAAATTTGGAATATGTTAGTAGGTGATTAATTGAAATAGAATGTGGTTCTCAACAGATCGCTGCTGAATTATCTAAGCGCTACAGAAAATGTATGAAAAGTGATGAAAGATTCAAAAAAGAT